TGTACAAAAATCATCAATTTATCAGAATACAATGTTATTTACACATCAGTAAAACTAAAGAAATTAGCTTAATATGTGGTAAAGAAAACTAGTATAATAATAATAATAATAATAAAATAATATATTTCAATGTAAAAGTGCCGGAACATCTACAACACTATAAATTTCTTGTAATGTCAACGGAAAAAGCACATAACTGAAATAGAACCGTTGAACTATTAGGACATGTAATCAAAGAAAAATAAATACAACTACACAGAAAAAATATAATATACACAACAATAATAATACAAACTCTTACTGTACTATTTTATTGTATTAAATTTGGTCAGATATTACATATTTTTGCCAATTTTCAACCAATTTACTGAGCCAACAGCCGAGCGCGTGCGGTCACTGCTCTGATGGTGTTTGACGCTAACGGGGATTTTTTTTCCCCCCAGTCTCAGCTGCTCTCAAAGGAAACTTTCAGAGATAAAACAAACAAACAAACCCGAATTTACTATTTTCAGTTATATATTTTGCGAAACTATACCAACATTGTTTTTCTTACCGTTTGTCCAAATTTTACAAGCTCTTTCAGGCTCTAACGAAAATAACGGTCACCTGCGAGTTCTCAACTGTGTCTGACGCGTTCTGAGCAGAATCTCAGCGCAGTAGAGGAAGGGGCGGGACAATCAACCCCATTGGCTGATGTAATATGAGACCACGCCAGCCATTGGTTGTCCAATTCATCAGTAAAACAATCACTAAAGGCTTATGTAACGGGTGAAATATGATGAAATATGTTAAAATATGTTTTGTAATTGCCATCTGGTGAGTGGTTTTTGGCACCCCCAACTGGTTGCTTATAAATAGAAGGAGAAACTGTAAATTCCACACAGTTTGTTCAGCGCTCTACTGTGTCACCAAATCCAGTTCTTTTCTGAACAGTCATAGTGAGTGTGCTCAAAGACTGACGTGGAGTTTTATTACAGTACGCAGAGAAGTAGTGAACCAGTAGGGAAGCTCACTGTGCTGATTTGTATTAACCACTCTTACATTATTTCTCAGTAATTTATGTTATCAGTTATGTTTGTCAGTTTTTTTCAGTTAAGTTTGTCAGTTTGTCTTATGTATGTTGATTTGCTGTGATTGCCACTCTGTCAGTTTGTTTGTTCCCTGTTTCTATGACGACATGACGTGGCCAGTTTTGTTTTCTGTGAAATACCAGAGGTTGCTGTTAAGTAGTTTCGTAGTTCATTTTACATTCGCCTATGTTTATTTTTCTGATTTATTTCATTTTAAAGGAAAGACCAAGTTGTATTAAATTAATTTTAAAGATGTATTATCAAGCAAATATCACTATACGATCACCTGTTAGAAAAATATGTCGTTAAGCCCGATTGTAATAATTATCTGTGAGACACAGTCTGTTCAGAGCTCATTATTTCCAGAAACTATCTCATTATTTCCGATACTATATCATTATTTCCAAATACTATCTCATTATTTCCGATATTATCTCATTATTTCCAGATAATATCTCATTATTTCCAGATATTATCTCATTATTTCCAGATATTATCTCATTATTTTCAGATACTATATCATTATTTCCAAATACTATCTCATTATTTCCGATATTATCTCATTATTTCTAGATATCTCATTATTTCCAGATATTATCTCATTATTGCCAATACTATCTCATTATTTCCAATACTATCTCATTATTTCCAATACTATCTCATTATTTCCAATACTATCTCATTATTTCCAGATACTATCTCATTATTTCCAGATACTATCTCATTATTTCCGACACTATATCATTATTTTCAGATACTATCTCATTATTTCCAGATACTATCTCATTATTGCCAGATAATATCTGTCATGAAGTGTGGAGGATTGGAGGTGGTGAGGCAGATGCCGGAGACCCAGGTAAAGTGAATAGTGTAGATTTAATGAAGAAAAACAGTCCAAAAACAACAGTAAATCAGTCCGCGGCCAGGCAGCACGGCTGAGCGGGAGCCAGGGCTCACACCGGTAGCAACTGGTCTCACAGGCGGCTCAAAAGACAAGAAAGGCAAGACAACGTACGACAACGACAAGGACCCTACGAGGAACAAAGGACACAGGAGGGACTAAATACACTGAGGGTAATCAAGGGAACAAGACACACCTTGGAACAATCAAGGGGAAGACAGGAATTATAATTTTTTTTGCTGTGTTTATGTTGTTGTAGAATATATGCATGTCACAGAATGACTGAAACATCAGAGCAGCTTAAAGTAGAAGAAAGCATTTCTTGCATATTCGTTTTTAGAAAATCAGATGTTATCTTTTTTCCCCCAACTGACAAAGCTATACGTAGTCTATTCCAGCTCCTTTATTTGAAACTTATTGTATTGTTTAAAATTGTATTATGACTGCAGAATAAAATCAAATGCGCCATTTCAACCAAAGATTGGAATGCGCTTCTCAACCAGATGTCCTCTGTGCAATAATTTTCTAATTATCTTTCATTAAAAAAAAAAAAAAAAAACAAGTCGGGGGAACACCACAGACATTGCGATGAATGAGCCAAGATGATTAAACACGTTCAATATCCCTCGTTTTAGATCAAAGCGGTGCTGATGTTCCACTGACTGGACCCCATCAGTCGTAACACACCACACATTACAGGATGATCGGTTACGATTGTCGGAAGCGACAATCCTAGAACTCAGAACGTTCTAAGATTGTCGTAAGGGCAAAATCGGGGCAAAACATCGTGCAGTGTGAACTGGGCTTTATTTGTTTGAAATAAAGTTTTAAAAAAAACAAAACACACAGATTGTTTTCATTCAAACTTGATGAGTTTGCCATTTGTTCTACTGAGGCTGTGACATCAGTTTGTGACATCACACTTTTCTCTATTACATCATACGACTGCAATCTTGATTTTTCGTTCCGGACAGACACGTTCAGTCAGTGAAGAGCTCAACAATTTCAGACAACTTTTGTAACTCACAGATGGCGTCAATAAAAATGGAGGATGTTGATTCACAAATGGATGCTGAGTTTTTTGAAACATCAAAGTACTCTAAATTACTTTTTGACAGAGATGAATTGGAAAAGCTGGATAAAGAAATAGAAGACTTGCAGAAAGAAGTAATGCAACTCGAGAGAGACCTAGAAATGATGGAAAAGAAATCACAGCCTGTGAAGAAATCACAGGCTGTGAAGAAATCACAGGCTGTGATTTCTTCAAAGGCTGTAATTGATGATGTACTGGATGCTGTTATGAAGGTGGAGGAAGAAAAGGAGACTAGGGAACTGCAGCCTGTGATTGCTTCACAGGCTGTAATTGAAGATATACTGGATGCTGTTATGAAGGTGGAGGAATTACAGCCTGTGATTGCTTCACAGGCTGTAATCGATGATATACTGGATGTTGTTATGAAGGTGGAGGAAGAAAAGGAGATGCGGGATCTGCAGCCTGTGATTGCTTCACAGGCTGTAATTGAAGATATACTGGATGCTGTTATGAAGGTGGAGGAATTACAGCCTGTGATTGCTTCACAGGCTGTAATTGATGATGTACTTGATGGTGTTATGAAGGTGGAGGAAGAAAAGGAGATGCGGGAACTGCAGCCTGTGATTGCTTCACAGGCTGTAATTGATGATATACTGGATGCTGTTATGAAGGTGGAGGAAGAAAAGGAGATGCGGGAACTGCAGCCTGTGGAGGAACCACAGGCTGAGGAAAAGAACGACTCCACATTTTTAAAGAATGTTGGAAAAGGCATTGCGGTGGCCGTAGGAGTCGGTCTAATAATTGTAGGAGGAGTAGCTCTGTGGAGAGCATATTCATCGTGGAAATGAATTGTGAAGAGGTTTTATTCGTATAAAATGGTTTTCCTTTATGTGTCATATAAATGTAATGTTTTTTGAATCATAGTCAAGGTGTTTTTCTGTGCAGCTGGAAACGGTGTACAAACTAATGAAACACGATGTGTCTACTGAAGTAAGTTTTCCAGAGTTGCTGAACTTCCCCACAGTTATTTGGGAACTCGCTGTTTTTCCCGTGGCCTTCTCTGCATGGAGATAGATTGTTTAGTTTTCACCTCCCATAGACATTACAGTGAATGAGCATACAAGGTTTTGTATGTTTTCCTTTGTTTCTTTTGTTTGGTCTTCGAAGATTGAGGTGTGCTGACTTATAGGACAGGTGGTACTTCAGACGGAGCTCTGGCTCCCTCCAGGTGGACAGAGCTACTCCTTTGGTGAGCATCTTCCCTGCTTGGTGGTAAATGTGAAAAATCACTTTTTTTTGGTCCAGGTTTTTGAAGAACTTAGGGTCCAAAAATAATCTTCTTAATTACAACTTTATTCACTCTAGTTTTATGAAACCTACTTTTGCAACAATGGTGCAATGAAATATTAAGTATTTCTACACCTTATTTTAAGAGAATTTGGCTGATCTAATGCAGACGTCTGCAGCATGGAGCTCCGGAGCCACAAGTGTCTCTTTAGTCCTTCCAAGGTTCAATAATAACAATAATTTTGAATAAAAATGTTAAAGAACCAAATGATTTTTTAAAAAAAATAAAGATGTAATAAATCCAGGTTTTAGAAGTTGATGTATCTCTACAGAAAAAAATGCTTTGTGTTTTTACAACAGAATAACATTAAATGTAGTCGTTGTTTTTCCCAGATATTCTCTAAATATCAAAATTTTATTTAAAAAATGGATCAATCTTCATGTTTTCCAAAGTATTTATGTATTTTAAAACATAAAATACATAAACCCGTTTTATTTAAATAAAACTGGGGTTCTTCATATATATATGTATATATATATATATATGTATGTCTACATATATATATCTACATATATATATGTAGATATATATCTATATATATATAATATATATAAATATATATAATATATATAGATATATCAAGGTATCAGGTTTTTTACTGGAGTGTCTGTTGAGCGCGACTAAAAGTAAATAACCACATAGACAAAAAAAAATTATCTATAGATTTTAATATCAATCTGGCATTTCTTAAAAGGTCATAGTTGCGGACTTAAAAATTCAGAATCAAAATACAGATGACATGCACTTTCTAGAAAATAAAAACATAATAAATCAATGTACAGATTCAAATAAATTGACAAATTTCACATGGCATGTTTTTATGGGTGTCCCTGGAAGTGACTGTAAAAACAGATAAAGCAGAAGTGACCTGGTTTAAAATAAAACGGGAACAATATGGTACAGCAATGATTTATGTGCCATTCTTTTGTATCACACTGGGTCAAGTCAGGTCTGTAAACGAGGTCATCAGTTCATAACGAGACATACAGTTCATGTAAGTGGAACACATGAGAGTTGGTTGTTTTTTATTTTTTTTATGCCCTCGAGCAAAAACTCCAACTAAACTTGTCATCCAGAAGAGAGAGTAAACCAATTTAGGACTAATAGTTAATAATTAATCATCAATAGTGAATGAACAGTGCGCTTGCATTCTCAGCCTTTTTAAATTGACCTTTGGAAGCTTTGAACAAAAGAAGATAGATTCACAAAGAGGAAGAAGAGCATTTCCCTTTTGAACAGCGTCTGTTTTTTTCGCATCCGTTATCAAGCTGAGTAACTATGCAAATTTTACTTCAGGCATTTTTCAGCTTTTAAAGTTGTGAAGAAACAGGAGATTTCTTTCAGTCATCTTACAAAATAACATTTTACAAAATATATATTCATATATAGGTGATGATTTTTTTTCTTCTATACAAAAAATGTTCAGTAATGCATATAAAAAAATATATATGTAAAAAAAAAAAAAAGAAAAACAAGTTGCCTACTTTGAAAATCCAGCCTCTCTCTTGTGTTTATGTGTTGGCGAAAACAGATAACTTACAATCAATTTTTCACAACCTGGTTTGGGCCTAAGAAGTAAGAGTAAAAACATCACCTATACAGCACAGTCCATATATACACACACATTTTGAACAGAGAAAAATCCAGTATTTAAACCACAAACACATAATTCTAAGAGAAACTATACGGTTGAACTCATGTTTCCCCCTCCAGATCCCCATTTGCTCTCCTTGATTCTAGAAATCAATAAAAAAAGTTACATTTAAATTAAAAAAAAAAAAGCACATTTATAGAAACAGCTACATTCACAAAAGATGAAAGCAGAGTTACAAAATACATTCACAGAAACATAAATAATCACAGCACTCTCAGGAACTAACATTTGAGTGGTCTGCAGCCTTTTCTTCCCTCGGCATCAAAAAATTTAAACAGACAAACAAACACAAAAAAAGGGAATAACTCTCTCATGTGATTGTGGAAACTGATTCATGCGATCCAAGGCAACATCAAACGTTCTGCAGAATTTTCCGTTCCCGCCTTTCATCCCGTAAAAAGGAATCTCAATCAGCTCAGGCAGCTTGTTTGGACGGCCGACTTATTTACAAACCCATCTGCATGTCGGCAAAGTTGAAGAAGCTGTCGACGTCTCGGGTTGACGTATTTTTATTGTCTGAAACAAAAACCTGAAGGAAAAAAAAACAAAAAACAAAGAAGAACAACAGAAGTGAGCCTATGTGTATGAACATTCAAATTAGAAAAATGCTCCAAAAATGTTTATATTTAAAAAAAATAAATAAAAAAAAAACAGTAAAAATACGTACCTTGGTACCACTAAAAACCTCGCTGGCGATGGTCTTGCATGCTTCCACTGCTCCATCACCGTTCAGCTCCAGGGCAGTGACCGGGCCTTCAGTGGCGAGATAGAAAAATTCAGAGTCAGGACATCCACACCCCTGATCCCAGAGTCGCTAGTCGGATCGATCCAAATCCCTTTAACATTCTGCTCATGTTTTTCAACCAGGAAACAGCAAAGGGCTTCCCCATAGAGGTTTCATACTGAGGCTTCTGGGGGACTAAATCAACATTTATCACATCCACACACACACACACACACAAAACAAATGTATTCAAACGAGATTATGGCAGAAAAACAAACAAAATGTGTCAAACCTGAGGCCTGTGGGCCAATTCTGGCCCATAATAACATGTTTATGTGGTCCTCAAGAGTCCAGAGAGCTTCATAAATAGAACTTAAAGATGACAATTGTGCGCTTACACATTAATTCAGAAAAATCGAATAAGTTTTATATAGTGCAAACTACAGTATAATGTAGAAAGATGTTTAAAACATTACTTCATTTCAGTTCTCATCGAATGCAGAGATTATGACGGCATTAGGACTGTTGTAGATGAGAAAAAAACGGATACATTTCTGCCCCTACCCCAAAAATAGTCTAATTTTCAAATTAATCTCAAGTTTTTCTACAACAATAATAATAATCCGATAATCTCAACATTTCTGAGGTTTTCTTACAAATTTTTGACTTTTGGAGCTTAGAAATGTTCATGTTTTCTCTAGAAAGTTTCCTGAAATTAAGAAATTTTTTTAGTTTATTGGCTTCTATCTACCATGGCCTTAACACACCATTATTAGCGACAGCTATGATACCCGACAGTTTGTCAATAGTTTTATCAGTACATTTGGACACAGCCGTCCATTTAGGGACACTCATAATCTTGCCGTGGCCCGAAATGAAAATGAGTTTGACACCCCTGACCCGGACCTACAGTGTCTAGCAAAAGTATTCGTCCCTACAGTTTCTACTGTTATCTGCTTTAAATGGCTCTATTGTGACAGACAAACACTACAAAGTACACAGTGTAAATGAAACAAAAATCTGTTTCTATTTTGGTACTTTCATTCTGATGCCAGCATTTTTAATACACTACAGTGCTAAAGATTTTTTTCCTTCACACACACACACACACACCCTTCAGAGGGGTAATTGTAATCTTAATGCATCAGTCCTCTATTTACAGCTATTAGAGCTTCAATTATTCTAGGAAGGCTTTCCATGAATGTGTTTATTGGATTTTTAAAAAAATCAATGTTCCGGAAACCCATTTGTGAAATCGGTCACCGACAAGAAGGCCTGGCTCAGAGTCTTTTGCAGGCACCAAGAGGTTCTCTTCCATCAGCTTCATTCCTTTCCCCGACAACTCCGACATGTTTCTCTGTGCCCTAGAAAAGCATCTGCAGAGCAGGACACTGCCACCACCCACTTTATTTAGATGGGTGTTATATTTAAGTGTGAAAATCTCTCATCTATTTTCCACACACAATGTTTTGCATATAGGACAGAAAGTTTAGTTTTTGTTTCGTTTGGCCAGTGGACAACCTTCCATGTAACTATGGGTTTCCAACATGACTGACGGTGAACGGGACTTCTCCATAAGTTTATCTTACCAAAGGTTATTCGGATGTATTCTTCTCATTTTCAGATGATCCGTATGAAACCAAAAAGAGATATTGATGTTGGTACTTTTAAAGTAACAAAATGTGTAAAAGTTCAAGGGGCATGACTACTTTTTCAAGGGTTACTGTATTTTTACCTTCCTCTGTCCATAATCACATGAGAAAATGAAATAAAGTTACGTTTCTGTTTGTATTTGAAGGTATCGGTTCAACACAGAACAGGAATTCAAAGAATTTCAGACATGCCCTGTTGGGTTTCACATGGATCTGCTGTACAATGCAGGGCACACACGCGCTCACTTTCTATGATTAAAACAGGCGGTGCAAATGCACTGAACACTGCTAGAATTATGAAACGACTTCCTCAAATGACTGGGAGATATTAAGCTGAATTACAGTGCAGTTGAGGAATTAGATGAAGTAAAATGGGCGTACCTTTGTTGATCCACTCCACAAGTTCATCTGCGCTGTTCTGAAACACACGCCTTGCATCCTCAGGCTTCATGGAGACCTCCTTAGTCTGGATCAGCACGAATCCTTTAGAAGTGGCCTGTGCAAGAAAAAGAGAGAAGTGAGTCAACGCCGGCTAAAAGTGAATCATGAAGCCTTTAAAAGATTCCTCGCTGAGAGACCGGATTCTTGCTGAGAATCCGGTCTCATGCGTGTGCGGTGATGATCTTCCTTTTTAAGTGACACCAAACATCTCTGGAATGTTTACACAGACGAACTGCCACTGTAGCCTCGTGGCCGGCATTTGTACAAAAAATAAAAAAAATGAATAAATAAAAAAAACTTCCATGGCGACGGAAATGTAAACCAAAGAAAGCTACAAAACCAGAAGGTGCAATAACCTGTGGCTTGAAAATCTCAATCTGGACACATTCTCAACCACTCTCCAAACATTACCCCAGTATTTTTTTTTCATAATTAATTCGACCAGTCGAATTAATTGTGCTTAATCAATTATGGGAATAATCGACAACTAATTCAGGAATTGATTAATTGAACATACAGACTCAAAAAAAAGACCGCTTTCTGAAAGAACACAGTCAGAGCAGGAATTAAGCCAAACATGTAAAAAAAATATAAACATTTTGCATTTAAGATGAAAAACTCTCTGTGTCTAAATATGTTTCACCCAAAATTCCTCTCCTGGTTCAAAGTCTGTAAAAAAATAAAAAAAATTCTATTAAGGATCTTTTGCTATCCATTTATTAATAAAAACACAAACAACAACAGATTATTATGGATCCTTTGCTTCAAATTATGAAGCGCACACTATGCATGTTAGGAAAAAAACATTTTTACTTTTTTTTATCCAAAAAGTAATGAAATTATTTGCTTACTTGTAATTTTTTTAATGCATTTTTAACATTGTGTAGCAAAGTTCAAGCAGTTAAATGAGAAAGCTGCAGAATTAGCCAATTGTTAGAATAATAGATAGAATGAAACATTTCTGAACATCTCAATCAGGACCAGTTAAACACACAGGTCCTTCTGTTTTATGCTTATCTAGGCTGTGTTAGTAATAGGAAGAATGACTAATTCATTAAAAAAAAGAAAAAAAAGCATCTGACGTAATCTTCAACAACATTAGCACCACCCTTTCACCCATTACCCACAAAGACTTCCTCTTTCTACACACTTTCCAAAACCAAAAAGTGCCACCGACACTCACCTCATCGATCAGTTTCCGGGCATTTGCAGTGGTGTAGTCCCCGGCAAAGAAAACAAAGAGGCAGGACTCCTCACTATCTTTCCGCCTGCCTCCCTTCGTCAAAGGCACGATGCTCCGGGTGGCCTCAGTGGAGATCCGGACGGATTTGAAATCGGACTCCGGGTCCGGCGCTGGCACAAAGTCCGCCACCTGGGCGTCTTCCGGCAGCAGGCTCCAATTGTTCTCCCCCGACACGGGCGTGAAGTCGTGGATGTTGCTCCAGTTGTTGTTGAATATGCTGAGCCCGGCGTCCTTGAAGTGGAAGGCCAGCTCCGGGTAGTAGTACTGGAAGCAGCCGAACTTCATTCCCGTGGAGGACTCAATGATGGGCTGGGTGGCACAGCACAGGAACACTTCCATCTTTTTACAGTCCCTCGCGCGGAACTGCTGGCAGGCCACCACGCACTTGATGTCTTTGCAATCCCTGAAGAACACGCTGCCCTTCACGGGCCCGAAGACGATCCGGCAGTTGACGCAGTCGTCGATGTTGATGGTCGCTGAGTGGTCCAAGACGAAGATGTTGCAGTTCTCACAGTCTTGGATGACAAACGGCTTGCCGTTCAGCGTCCCAGGCAGCCGGCCCACGGTGACGTCTTTGAGTCCGGTCAGAGTGTAATCCTTGGGGTCAGCCTGTGCAGAAACACGTGCTCAAACAATATCTTTGGAATAAAATGTTTAAATATTCGCCGAACATGGAGAAGCAGCATTCAGCTACTATGCACCACAAATCCCACATGTTTAGAGTTTTTCTTGATTCACTGGAACATTGACCAACCCTCCCGTATAATACCCCCACTCTGTTCCTATAGACTAGCTAGAAATAGCAAATCCTGGTGGAACTGCACTTCTGCTGAGCTCAGTATATGAGCTACTTCTTAGTGTAAAAACATTGTAAACGATTTAATGGAGGAGTCAAAATTCTTAAGCTGTGCTATAAAATGACGTCATGTGCCAGGAAAATGATTAGTGTTGCCCTTTTAAGTAACCTGCATCACAACTTTGATCATAATCACGTTTCAATTTGGAGTCCACATCACCCCCATTTTCTTGATATGACCAAAGCGCAAACTGCGATACAGGAAAACATTTAGTTTAAAATAAAACTATAGAAATTCATGTGATTGATTCCACCTAATGACTGGAAAGGTGTCTCAGTATGCTCCATTAGGCCTAAATCACGATGCAGCTGGTGGTGTGGCCCTTTTGTTACACGTTCAACAAGCAGCGAGTTGAAAGGGAAGTTCATCTGCTGCCAAGCCTCTGAGGTCTCAACAAGGCAACATAAGGCTGGGTTTTGTTGTGCAGTACTGTAATCCCATAATGAGATAAGGCTGGAGACATGGGAGCATTTGGCGAGAGGTGGGCGACATCTTGAACATTTAAAAAAAAAGGAAAAAAAGTGACAAATTTAGGAGATCTGCGTGTATTTCCTGCCGTCTTTAGTCCGACGACCTGGATGTTCATTTGCTTGATGCGATTTATGACTAAAAGCTATTATTGTCACAATAACTTTAGTACAGAGTAACACTTTATACTGCATTTGTTGATCATTTGTGCTCTTCAAATTTTTTACACCAACCCAAAAACCGTCTATAGTAAATGTGTAGCTAGCTGCTCCATTAGCAAACAATAACTACCTGGAAGTTGACGCAACGTCACGATTATTTATGTATACCCACCTACTTCACATTGCGTTTGTTTAATGCTACCAAGACTACTTGGATTTGTAGCGTGCAGTCGCCTCACCTTTTCCCTCTTGTCCCAGCTGTACTGCTTGGGAGCCTCGTCGGTGTTGTTGCCAAGGGGAACCGAGTTACATGCAGCGTCAGCGCTCGTCGTTGTCGGCGTGAGGTTCTCCTTCTCCGCCGACTTTCTTTTGGATTTCTTCGAGAAGAAGCAACCCATGTTGCCTTTTCAGCAGCGACCAGATATCACGGTCACCTCAGCCTGAAAGAGAAACCCACGACAAAACGCGAGGCGCGACCGTACCTACGTGAGCTACAATTGACAGGTTTTTTTCCCCTTTTTTAGCTTCCTGTTTCGCAGCTTCGTTTTCCAACCAATAGACACGCTTGGTGGTACTTGGAACAGCCAATGACTGAGCCCCAAAGCTTGACGTATGTAAGTAGGCGTGGTGAACAGCCGTGAAACATTCACGTACTGGAGCTACAAATACGATTTCCGCAAGAACATATCTGAACTTTCATTTGAAACGTCGTGTGAAAGATGAGAAAACACTTATTTAAAGTAAGCCATCGTCTCATGTCCAAACACTGCATATTTTATTGACAAAAGCGAAGCAGTCTATCAGATTATGAAACATAATCTGTTTCATAATCTGAGTATGAAACAGATTATGAGTTTCCTTTTACTCTATTTCTTTCAATCTGCTTTTGTAAAATGCAGTTTTTAAGCCGCATGCTACTTTTTGTTTTCCAACGCATCAGTCGGAGGGAGTAGAAAATTAAACAAATTGAAGCAAACCCAAACAGATGTTATTTTAAGTGACTACCCTGAATGCATCATCAGTTCCACACCAGACACTCCCCTTCGAGTGCTTCCTTTGCTTAAAACACATTAAACCGTGGCAGAAACATAAATAAAAAAGATCAGATGACTAAAGAACACTCAGTTTAGCTCTAATGTGCTTATAGTCGAAATGATGCATTCGCTAATAGTTGTTTGACGTTTTTATACATGCTGACCGGGTTCTTATGAGGATGTTCTGAAACTGGATTTAAATATACATGTACAACAACAAAACCCCAAACACCACGTAACCGTGGGGCAACCGCATGTCAGATTAGCGTCCTACTTTAACTGCCAGACTATTCTAATAATAGGTAATCTCTATCAGAACTATCTTCTTCCGGTCTTTTCAGTACTTTCTCTCTTTCCCCTCCTATAGCCACAACAACATATGCTCAATTGAAACACAAAAACAGGCACCATAGCAACTTTGTTTCAGTAATGCTGGAGATTACTTAAAATAAACAAAGAAGCAAAAACAACCCAGTGACAGGCCACCCTTAAATGAATCACAGCTTTAGACGTTGCAGCTTGAGGTCCCATGAACATTAATCAGACTGCATTCCTCACAGCAGCTGTTTTTCATGGTCAGGGATGATGAGTGCTACCATGAAACATGCCTTGCTCATAGCGCAGCATCTGATCAAAATTTCAAGTTCATGCAATTAAGATTTGGGTTTAGAGTCTGCATCTTCTCGACATCACACGACTTGGGTAATCCAGAGTGAAGAGTGTAATGCAAGAAACATGAAGATAGAAACATTTGGGATGGATTGACCTGTAACTCTGAATTCCTCACCCTTTGCACACATGCTCCACAAGTGGCCTGTTTCTCTTATCGACTCGCTGATCAAATACAAATATATTGAAGTGAGGTGTTTTGCTGAAGAACTCATTTCACATGTTCCTTCACATCCAACCACAAACATCCAGGTATCTGGTAGTTGAGATTTGAAGTGACAGACCAAAGCAACACTAGTGCATAATCAATAAGTGGAAGACAATTTCACAATATTGTGCAAAAGTCTAATAGTTTTGCTAGTCTAAAGTACAGAATTAAATTTCTGCCCACTTTTCTTAGCAAAGCAGGTTAATCTAAGTCAGATTGGATACATCTGGACTTTAACTAGGCCCTTTTATCTCATATATGCAGAGGTTATGTATATGCTTTAGGTTGTTTTCCCACTGGAAGGGGAACCGCTGCCTCACTCTCAAGCCTCTTAAAAGTTTTTCGTCTGATATATATTTAGCTACACACACTTGCAAATTATGCAACACCTTGTGCTGGTTTGTCATATAAAATGCCAATATAAGATCTTTTAGTTTTAGAAGAATATCTGCTTTAACAGGAGTAAAAATGAAGGAAACGGACAGATTTTCTTTTAATGACCACTAGGGTTCAGTGCAACAACACCAACTTGAAGCCTCAACTCGCCCTGAAGCCTCACTGTAGCTCTGACTCAGCAGGCACATTTCCTACACGTTAACACCACTTCTTTGTTTAAAAAGATCAGCAACTGCAGAAGATCCAAATGCTGCGAGTAAAACGGCACTTCTCCTGTGCATTCACCAGATACTAGTGACAACTTTTTACTTTCTTTTTGCTAAATGAAGCCCTGTCCTGCCCCGTCGATCTCATTTGTAGATTTTTACATAAAGTGGAACGAGTAAGTCAGGTCAAGTCTGACGTGGGAATGTGCCTCCACACGAATCCAAAATGACCACTCGTGAACTGTGTTCGGTTTCCTGCTTCAAGTCCTCATAAGCTTGCAGCTTTCTTGATTTCTGTCTGAGTGACCAGATATTAAAGAGTGTAAAACATAAGATAATGTAGCTGGTGTTTAAACTCTGATCTCTAACCACCGGATCAACATTGGAGGGTTTAAGAACAAGATGTGTCCAGTGGAAATTAAAACATATTAAAAAACAAAAAAACAATAAACAAACACCTAAACTATAAATATACAATACTGTATATTGTCCAAAAAAAAAAATAAAAAGATGCTTACAGTTACATAAAATATTCCATTCTTAACACAAAAGTTCACATTTTTTGGGGGGAAAAAATGAAACGATTTGGATTTTTTTTTACAGTGAAATATTTGTGAGATCAGGGGCTGATGTTGGACGACAAAGCTTGGCTTTAATTAATCCCAAACATGCTTTAATACACGTTTGGATGCTAATCAGTGTCATAGGGTCTTTAAATTTATTTATTTTTTCATCCCAAAACCTCCCAACACACAGAGCCACAATTCACCTATTCAAATTTCTGATGAATAAATAATAATGATCAACCCAAGCATCAATGTTTAGAATCATTAAAAAAAATCTACATACTTACTGAGTTTATGGTCTTAATTTATAGAGCGATTTAAAATATTATGATTTTATAGACATTTTTAATGGTTATTTAATACAGCAATCGCCCAATAAAATCGTTTAGGTTCCTTCAGTGGCTTCAGCTTTCAGACTGAGAGTTTACTGAACCTGTCCTCTGATCGGGGCAGCAGTCGTGCAAGAACCGCCACTGTGTTGGTTTTCAAGTGCGTTTCTCCTCCAAACGCGTTTCGATCTGCTGCCATCACAACTACTACAAATTAATGCGGAGTATTTGACAGGCACGCCCCTTTCCTCCCAACATCCAGCTCCCTCTCCAGACCAGATCATCCCAAACGGGATGTCGGATGTCTACTTCTCGTTTGTCCAGCGGCGGCTCCTCCGATTTCCTGTTTTCGAGAGGAGTGACCTCCGAATTGCACCATCATCAGAAATCTCGGAGCAGTGAGTCAGTCGCTTGCGGTTCGGTTGGGTTCGGGCGTGCAGGTGGTGGTCTCCTCCTCCACAGTCAGAGCGGAGCTTTTCGTTGCATTGTGCTGTGTCTCTTTAAAAGGTTGAGTTCTTCGGTCTGTGAGCGCTGGATTGTGTCTCCACTCGGTTTGCCATACCTACTCGACTCGGCTGTGTGTGTGTGTGTGCGCGCGCGCTGTTCTTCCAGCTGTGACATGGCACAGAGGCTGCGTGTACTCTCAGCAGTAGCAGCAGCATCCTAAGCCATGGTCGCTCTCGGGAACGCAGCCAGCGCGACTCGGGGAACCAGGGCGATGCTGCTGCCGGTCTGGACCTTACTGAACGCGGTGTCGGGGCTGAAGGCGGAGGACGGCGGAATGGTGGAGGAACTTGTAACTGAGAAGGAGGCAGAGGAAAGTCACCGACAGGACAGCGTCAATTTGCTGACATTCATCTCGCTGCTGACTCTCACCATTCTCACCATATGGCTCTTCAAGCACAGGCGGGTTCGCTTTCTTCACGAGACCGGGCTGGCAATGATTTACGGTGAGCTTGTTTTTTTTTTCACGCGCACATGACGCTGGCTCTCCTCCTGCAGCTACATCACCACCAACAAACACCACCTTCCGCAGGCTTTACGTGATTCAGCCCCCTTCCCCCTCCCCCATCCTCTCCTCTCCCCACGCGCTCTCACAGCCTCTAATTGGTTGGGCTCGCGCTAATTTCTAGAAGGTGCTTTCGGCTGAGGCTCATCCCCACAGGCAGAACTTAATGCACTTTAACGTGGTTGCGCCAGGGCCGGGTTTTGGCAGATACGGGCCCCTGGGCTAGAGCGAGTGTTCTTGCCCTGCCCACACAAGTTTCCTTCAGGCATTCCAATCAGGTTGACAGTCAGGTTTGTGTTGTTTCGTTTATGCCTCTTCTGCTCAGTAATTGTTTCTCTGAAACGGTTATAATGTCTAAAAAAAGTTTCTCATTCACGCTGGATCATTTCTAGGTTTTCTTGGTCTGCAAGCGGTGTTGGGATGCAGTGAATCAAATGTGCACACACTGGAAGGGAATCAAGGTAGTCAAAGCTTGAGGTCAAGGGTTATGTTAGAGGCCTGGCTTTGACCATTCAGTGAATAGTCATGAAGGTTTTTTTTATTTTTTTATTGGACAAATACAATAAACATTATCTCAAAACAATCCAATACATAGGCTTGATCCAATAAGCTATAAATCAATGAATCAATTAATCACATGATGAATTAAAGCAAACTCAATCATTTCCATTTGCATAATTTATAGGTTTTCTCTTTTTTTTCTCTTTCCACCAAAAACTGGATGACAAAAGTTTTCAGTTTGGTGCTGTGGTGTCAACTATGATCAGAAAGAAACGTAAAACAACATCTTCAAAACAACTTGGTCAAAATTACAATATCTAAAATCTAAAACATGTCAAACTCAAGGCCCGGGGGCCAAATATGGCCCACAGTAGCTTTGTATGTGGCCCTCGAGACTCAAAATTACATCAGTGAGTCCCTCCAGTTTTTCAACAAATTTGCAAAACTCACTCAAACGTTCACACAAAATTCACATGAAATCTACAGATTTTCACACTTTGTTTCTGATTTTTAACACACATTTTTCTTGAAATGTGTGTTAAAATCTGAACACACTGATGTTGAATGTTCTCAAAGAACAGCCCTTTAAGAACATTCATATTTTTGATGTGGCCCAAAATGAAAATGAGTTCAACACTCCTGATCTAAAGTGAGTACAGTTCAGGTTCATCTCTCTTTGTCATAGGGCATGCAATTGAACATTTCAACATCAGTTCTGTTTTTGTTTAGAAAAACCCAGCTTTTAATGAGTTTCAGAGCTAACAACTCTTAACAGAAATGTCCGTCTGTCCAAAGGTTTTTCTGCTAGATGGTATTTTACACTTATGATTTGTTCTGCTCCAGTCACTGTCATGCTGTTCTCTCTCATTAAATGGATGCAGCATCTCAGGTAGCAAGCTAGCAGTCATATCTGTTGTAGTTTTAAAATTTCTTTTACCTTGTATAAGGGCGTTGGCTTTATCTCCAAGCAGCTGACTTTCTTGTTTTTTTTTTTTCAAACAAGAGAAAAGGTCAAACTGCCGTTTTCAGCCAGCTAACCTGTAGTGCACAGCAACAAGTGCAGGAAGGACGACCCTGTATGGTTTATACAGCTGGGGGGGAAAAAAACCCTCTGGTCACTCTGGCAACTCAATAAAATGAGATTAAACAGCAGATATTGTATGTTTTTAAAAAATATTTTTAAAATCCTAACTTCTGCAGTTTAGATGCATATTTCACACTGATGTAGCTTTTGTACATCCTGACTTGTGTGACAGTTCTGGAGCCTCCCTTGTTGTTTGAGGAAGCTGAGAATTCACTTGGTCCGTTTGCGCCTTGATGCTGCTCTGAATCAGATTACGGAGACCTGTGCTTTTGTCTCATGTTACGTCCGTTATTATGGAAGAAAATGCACCAAATGCAGTTAGTGAGTGTAAAACCAGCCTTAAATGGATTCTAATCAAATGAACTCTTCAAAGCAATCTGTCCAAATTTTGTGTACCAAATACTAAATGCAAGTTTATTGTGCACGAGTGGAGAAATTCAGGCGTACTGTTAGCAAAGTAACACACAGCTGAAGCATGTAGATCCACATGAAGATAAAAATATAAAAACAGAAAGCAAGAATGACACCTGATTCAGTAAGGCCACAATTGATATGTGAAACATGTCAGTAGTGTACGTCATTCCAGATGTCTTTGTTCATCACCTTATTTGCCTCTTTGAAGGTTTATTCTCTGTTGGGCTTGTGTATTGCTTAATGTGTGAATTATGTAATCTGAAATGCTGTTTCACTAAGACATAAATGTCTTTTTTTTATTTCTGCAAACAAAAATCAGTTCAGTTCATTTCAGAAATGAAACCAACGTTCTTCTGATTATTTGTGCCTCAGTTATTGTCAAGTTGTATGAAGAACAACTGTGCTGCATGTCGGCCACACATTTTGCTGCAACACTTAAGAGACAAAACTTACGCTGTCCAGTTGGGGCTACAAATGTCACTTATTAACCAGTGAGGGAGAAAAAAGGTTAGACTTTGATTTGTTTTGTTTTTTCCTTTTAATTCAATCACTGCTGCTTTTCGACCCTGAACCGTGAGGCCCAGTGGGACATGGTAGAAAAGCAGGCACTCCAAAACAGAAAACTGCCACTATAATGCTGCAATAATGCCACATTTAAACACTTGGAGTTATTATTTTGGGAAATGTAGAGACTATGTGCACAAGCTGAGTTGTTTCTCCTTTTCACTTTTGTGTGTGAACCTGAATAAAGCTCTCTGAGATCAGAAGGATTATTCTGTTGCACGCTAAAAGTACCGATTAACCGCATAAAGAACAGCCTAAACATAAAAATTCTTACGGTACTTTCTAGTCCAGATTTATGGAAAGCACCTAAAACTCCCTCCGTCTGTGATTCGAGAATTTTTTTTTCCCCAGAAACCGAAACAACAGGTGGTTTGATCCGGTGTCTGCACCAAACCATCTTGTGTTTGTGTGGTTAGGCCAAAGAGTGTGAGTGTGATGTTCACACTTAACCCACCGGCAGACTGAATCAGGAAGCCTGTAGCGCTCTGCTTTACTCTGTCCCATCACAAGATTTATGCTCCTCTAAGTGCCTCTCTCATCACTTTCTTCCCGACTCTGACTTTCTCCACCAGATTCTACCTGTCATGTTCTCATTTTTCTTTGTTTGCTCTGCTGCAACTTGATCCAGTCTTCTGGTAAACAAGAAATGCACGGAGAATTACACTCACCAGCCACTTTCTTAGGTAGATCTTAAATTGGCGCTTGCTTACAGCAGCAACTCAAAGCATTTGGGGATCTAGGTGAGGTAAGTAAAAGTTCACACAGGCACAGCAACATCAGATAACAAATTGGAGAAAGTGTTCCCTATTCTAATGTTTGAATTATTGGAGCAACATTCACACGGTCAGAATAGGGTGTAACCAACACCAATGTTTGTCTTGCCTTCTGGAGTTCAGGCTGGTGGTGGTGGTGTAGTGATGTGGGGCGGGGTTGTCAAACACATTTTTATTTTGGGTAATATCAAGAATGTCCTTAAAGGGCAGATTGTGCCAGAATGGACTGATAAATATTAACAAACTGTTAAAATATTAATAAATATCTATGCCTGCATTTGATGAGTGCTGCTTAAAATTAAATGATAGTGAATATCTTTTCACACTGATCAATCCCTCCAGGATTTAATGACATTTTTTTTCTTTTAGTAATTAAAATGACAAATTTTGTGGGTTTTATGTAAAAATATTTGCAAGATATTTTTGCAATATTTGCACATATGTGTCATATTAAACATCTGCCTCTAAGCTACAGATTTAAAGCTTTGTTCCTCCGCCTCACAGATAATCCATTTCTCCCCCACTCGGCTCCTTCAGACTAGCCACCAGCAATTGGCAAACACCTAGTAGAACTGCTCATCTTCTTAGCTCGTTTTAGGAGCTACTTCTCAACTGTGGTAAAAACGGGAGTAGTGCTGCGATGACTGCTCCCGTAAGAGTAGTAAGAGTAGGCGCTTCTAAAAGAGACAGAGGTCCGATTTTAAGGTGTTAAATTACAAAGTCAGATTTCTTTAAAGTCATATCTGATATATCAATCAAGTTTATTTCTATAGCATAATTTCAGCAGCAACACAGATCAAAGTACTTTACATCATAAAAACACAAAAATACGACTCAAAAGAAAGTCGACAACGAAGGGACTTACATTTTGTCAAGTCCCTTCGTTACACATCAGAATATCAATAAATATTTTATTATGCTTCACATATATGCAGCACTTTTATATCAAGTGAAGGTAATGTAGCGAATTGATAGTGCCATTTTATATCACAAAGTGCCTGGAGAAAACACAACACTTCCCATTTAACTTCCTCAGCCTTCTTGAGGATTGTTGCTGACCACATCCATCCGTTTACGACCACATTGAAACCATATTGTCATCTCAATTTCCCGCTAGATACTGCACCATGTGACAAAATTCAACTAATCTCAAGCCAGTTTCTTATATATGGGTTCACTGTATTCCAGTGGCTCCAGTCCAGTTGAGCTCTTTGGTGATGTGGTGCAACAGGAAATTGATATCATCCAAAGAAACTGCAGGAACTGCGTGATTTTAGCATGGAGTATGGCCTAAAATCTGATGACTGTTTCTGACACCTAGTTGAATGTATATGGCACAAAGAACAAAGGGAGTCCAAGCCATTGTAACTAATACAATGGTTCTTGATCACATGTCGTCACCAGTTTTAACTAGAGTTTGATTGCTTGGGAGTTGTTTGGTTTAGTTGGCTATATTTGTACGTGTGTCAAATGGACTTATAACCCTCCATCTTTGTTCCGATTGGGTTTATCAGGCTTGCTGGTCGGTGTGATCCTGCGTTATGGCATTCCAGCCACCAGCTACCACAACAAGACCCCCCCGAGCTGCTCGCTGAAGGAAGGACCGTCCAGCACCCTGCTGCTCAACATCAGCGGCAAGTTCTTTGAGTACACCCTGAAAGGGGAGATCAACTTCAGGGAGATCCACAATGTGGAGCAGAACGATATGCTTCGCAAGGTAAGCAAAAGAAAAAGGTGTCTCCATTCTGCTAATTTCACCAATTAATTGGGAATTTCTCATCCCTCTGCAGGTGACCTTTGACCCTGAGGTTTTCTTCAACATTTTGCTCCCTCCGATTATTTTCCATGCTGGGTACAGTCTGAAGAAGGTGAGATATTGCACGGTCTGACTGCTTCTGGGATTAAGTGAAGCGACACAGTTACGTGAGGTGAGGCTGAGTCCAACTGAAGTGTCTGCTGACACAGGGTTTCATTGGCCAGATGGCTCGCAGACAAACCCTGTCATTGGCCAGATTGTGAGGACAGTCAACATAAGTGTCTCTTTGAAGGGAAGTCCAGAGCAGATGTCTTTCGTTTCCTCTTTGACATTTTTGCTGGCTCAGAAAAACAGCTGACTGTAGAAACTATTTTTGCTTTTATCTTCTTAAAGTCACTGGGTTTTATTCGGAGAATGGTCATTTGGATTTTAGCTGCGAATGTTTTCACCATTTTCATGGGGTCAATTTCTAGTTAAGTTTATGATTTTCTTCATAGCCATAATGTTTATTACATTGGAATTAGGCATGGGATGGGACAATGTCAGATTCAAGCTGCTGAAGAAAACTATAGTCAATCTGATACTTTCTTTGGCATCTCATTAAAAGTGTAGGAACAGTCTAATTATTATTATTATTATTTATTGATTTTATTTTTTTTGCAATTTGGAAGCCTTAACCATTTAAAACGTTGGTGTGGGACCGGGTAACTGGTCCACTCTGTTCCAAGATGCAGTATCTAAATCTTTATGATTCGCAGACTTTGGTTAACTGGGAATGAAGCATTAAATTCAAATTCAGAAATCCTTTATTGATCCCAGAGGGAAATTAAATAATATGACAATATTACCCTTATGACAATATTGTTGCCCTGGCATGTGACACATGGCAGGGCAACAAGGTAAATGGTTTAATTTGTAGGGTTGATTGAGAAAACTCAGCAGTCTTGCTTGCAAATGTATTATGCTGGATAGAACAAAAGCTTTTGATTTTGTAAAAATTTAAAGCTGTGTGCTTATTATCAAATCTTGGCTTGCTAGTTTTAAAATAAGCATATTGTAATTATTATTGGGTGCATGCTCATCCCTTCAAGGTATTGCATGTTACATTAGCTTGGAATACTGGTAGCCAGTTCTGGAAAGTAAAACCCAACATCGATGTGTTGCAGTTGGACAAATCCAGTGTTATCTGCCAGTTTTTGTGTGCAGTGACCAGATTTATTACTGTTAGCATTTTTCTGCATTCTGTGCAGTCACATAGTAACTGTACGTGACTGTGTTCCTACAGCCATTGGCAGCCATATTGGAGGTCCAGTTTGGTTGAGGGCCTCCAGTTTTCCAGGAATTCTCACTGAACGTTCATGGTGGAATCATTGGTTTGTTTGTAGCCAGTTTAAGCAGTATTGCCTTATCTAAACGTAATTAGTTTGTACTTTTAAGCATTTCAGGAACGAGCAAATATTTTTGCATTCTTTATCTATCTTTGATAACCAATAAAATTGTACATAGTCTCAAAAAGACAATAAGAAAAGCAAGAAAAGTGAAGGCTAACTAGCTATCACAGTTAGCCCTTGTTAAAACAACCAAATTAGTACATTTATAGGTGATGTTTATCTTTTTTTCCCCCCAAGATAACGTGTTCATAAATAACGTTTTAGAAGTGAGTACAAGTGAAATGACAATACAAAGCACTAGTTAGCATTAGCTCTTTGGCATCAGACAACTACCCTAACCTTATTATTTATTATCTAATCGGGCAGAGCTTTCTAGGTTCCCACTTAGTAAATTTTGAACATTTTGTGTTTCTTTCTTCATGTTAGAAATTGCTGAGTCAAATGATAGTCCTCAGGAAAAGGAAGAAGGGGGTCAGGTCAGCTAGAAAAGCTTGCTTTTTTTCACACTCACAAGTATAATTTTTGTTTTTGCTCATTTTGAGCACCATTTAAACCAAAGCCACTCAGATTTGCATCTGATGTGTAATACAAAAAATAAAAAATAAAAAAATAGCTCAACATTGCTAAGTTGAGTTGCCACTGATCAGAATGTCAACAATTAAATTTGATCAGTGGGACCTTTCTAGAGGAAGACGCACATTTCCTGTAAAAGAAAAAGATGAAAACCCCCGAATCAGCTGTTTTCAGTTTACTTTGCAGGGACAGTCAGATCAGATGGGCTTATTTGGAAGTCATCTGTGTTTCGCTGCTTGTTTGTTTTAAAAGCAGTCAACCAGCTGGATGTGTGTTTGTGTGCCTGACTGAGCCGTGGCAGTCACTGACCTGAAATCAGCTAGAAGGCGTATTTCTTTATCAGCATGATCAAAACTGTTCTCGAGCATACAGATGTTTTCTTTATCACCCTTGCTCACAAAACAATTACATTTCTCTTTCATATATTCCTTTTCCCCAATTTTTTCAGAGACACTTCTTCAGAAATCTTGGCTCCATCATCACCTACGCCTTTCTTGGCACTGCAATTTCATGCTTTGTCATTGGGTGAGGTTCTCCTTTCTGTTTATCAATCTTAAAAGAGATAACTCTTCCCTATTTTTCCCCCCTTCAACTGAATGCCTCTCCTCTGCTCGTCCATCCCCAGGAATCTGATGTATGGCGTGGTGAAGCTGATGAGGGCGGTCGGACAGCTGACTGATAAGTTCTACTACACTGACTGCCTTTTCTTTGGGGCCATCATCTCCGCCACAGACCCAGGTACAACTCCAGAGCAATGAAATACACGTTCCAGCTGTGAACTAACTGTGAATGTGGCTGTTTGCTTAGATCTCTTCATAATTGCTGACATGTACTTGCAGTGACTGTGTTGGCGATTTTCAATGAGCTCCATGCAGACGGGGATCTGTATGCTCTGCTGTTCGGAGAGAGCGTTATGAATGACGCTGTGGCCATTGTCTTGTCCTCGTAAGTCATGTTACAGAAATATGTTCCTTACCTTTAGTGGAAAAATACCAGATTGTAGTGAATTTGTAGGTATTTCTGAAAACAGGATTAGTCTGATTATGCTTTTAGCTTTCCACTGTTTAGAAGTTTCAACTCGCATTGAAAAGTTAATATTTATTGGATACGATGTTGCTTTAGTAGGTGCAGGACAGGCTCACTTTCAGAAGATTTGCTGTGGGCTGCATTGACCTGCATGGTTAGTTGTGAGTAATCACTCCACTGTATAAAAACTAGATACTTAAATGATACTTGAAATTTTCCGCGTGATGCTCAAAGTGACACCATGGCCTCAGACTTGAGCATATTCAGTTTGAGTTGCTTAAGATGGCAAAACATAAAGTAAAATGGTGGCTCCTGTTTGACTGACCCCTTCCAATACATTTCACTTTTCCATAAGCTTGCTGATATGACACTCTAACCTTAAGGCGTCATACTGAGGAGACTCTAAATGTAATTCCCCCAAAATCCGAACTCCCTTTTTTTAGACTGAGCAGATTTGTGCTAAACATGTTGTAGCTAGTGCTAGCTAGCTATTGTTTTAGGGAAATATTATCATCTATCTGCTCTACATAATAAAAATAAATGTTATTTCCAGTCCGGTAAAGTATTTGGTTACAAGTTACTTTGCAAATCAAACTGTTTTTATGCACATGTAAACAGTCTGCAGTAAAAGTTCACTTCTTTTTCAGACGTTTCTCCTTAAATCAATGTATTTTATTTATGTTCATGATTCATTTTGGTGCTTTCTGAAATATGGGTTTCAATCAAAAAGTTTTTTCAAGTTGTTGAATTTCACTGATTAGAGAAGCCTGCTTCCTTTCATCACTGCTTCTCTTGACACATGGCACGCTACCTCCCTCTAGTGGAAGACATGAATCACTTGTTTCTATGGAGGAGATTGTTAGAATGCTCCAGGTGGTTAATCTATTTTTCAAAAAGACACTTGTGATAAAAAATTAATGCAAGCTCAGTGTTACCAAAGTGAGTGTTGATAGTTATGATTTTGACCCATACCAGAATTACACTAACTAGGTATGCTTGTGTTTTGTTTTTTTTTTACATCTCAGCTCCATCATGGCCTACCAGCCTGCTGGTGCAAACACACACATGTTTGACGCCTCTGCCTTTTTCAAGTCCGTTGGAATTTTCTTGGGGATTTTCAGCGGCTCCTTTGTGATGGGCGCAGCCACAGGTGTCGTCACGGCTCTCATATCCTGCTCTGTGCGCACACTTTAAAATCCGACCGCATTCTCGACCGTATCTAAGAGTTTGAGTCATGTTGTTTCTGTTGAGAGTGGTTCATGAAAATGCAAAGCCTTGTTGGCCTTTAACTAGACTCTACGTCACCAAGTTCACCAAGCTGCACTGCTTCCCTCTGCTGGAGACGGCGCTCTTCTTCCTCATGTCCTGGAGCACGTTCCTGCTGGCCGAGGCCTGCGGCTTCACCGGTGAGCCGTCTTGATTTACTTATATTCAAGTGTATGTCATGAAGAGTTTTCCTTAAAAAGGTTGGAGCTTGATTTTGGATAATTCTGGATAAGTATGTTAAAAAAATGGAGGTTTGAAATTGAACTTGTCATGTTGTCACTCAGGGTCTGGTTTAGATGTCAAATGGAGCATCATTAGGCATCTAAACCAGGGATGTCAAAGTCAAACATCGAGGGCCAAGAAACCAAATTTGCTACAAATCGAGGGCCAGACTGGTTCTACTTTTATTAAAATATGTTGAAATGATTGCACATAGCCTGTTGAACCAAGACCTAACACAATATTATGTATATTATTTAATAAATAAATGAATAAAGCAATATTTTCTTTTGACTTTGTCAGTAACCTCAAGGGAAAACATTCTCAACAGGCAAACAGCAAAAAATTTAACTGTTTTGAAAAACTAAATATGTTTCTTAATATCAAGATAAATTCATAAATTAAAGTGCATGCATTATAAACTGAAAATCCATCATTGTGCTGCTCTATGATGTCCATATTCTTGTCTTTGTGTGTTTCTGAGAAGCTTGATAGTACCTTCTTTGATTATATTCTTACATTACAGCCAAACTTTCTCCACACAGAAGACGCACACAGGTTTGCCTTTGACCTCTGTGGACATGAACTCTGCCTCCCATCTGGCCTGAAACCCCCTGTTCACTAAACGTTTAGCCATTTTTGAGGAGGGGGGTAACCTGAAAGTTGATCTCTTCTCTGATTGCTGATGAACAATGAAGCTGCTTATGTGCTGCAGTGATTTCGCGGGCTACCGTTGCATTGTGGGGACAGGTTTTATTTATATATTCATCATCTTGTGGTGGCAAAAGCAACATAAAAAAAAAAAAACAAAGCTAGTGTGCTAAGGACTTAAGATGGAGTAAATAAACAAATTGGACATTTCTCTAATTTTTGTATATGTACAAGAAAAAGTATCTGAGAGCACAATTTGTGTTTTCACAGAAATTTCTGTGAAAACATAAGCTTCACAGATATGCTTTTTCCCAATGGTTTTCTCGGCATGTTAAAAAAAAAAAAAAAAAAATCATTACTGTAGGGTAAAATCGGTCAAGCATAAAATCAAGTCTTTCTGTTTTTACAAGAAGTTTTATCATCTAAAAAAAGAATTTTTTTTAGTTTTTCATAAATATATGATTCATTTTCCCTGCATTTTAACAAGACAGTGTCTATAGTCATGAGGTATTTCATCACTAAAATAAAAATACAACAACGCCCTAAAATGACATATTAAGGTTTAATAAAAAATAATACTGCAGACAAATAATCCTCCAGAGATGCAGTGAAAGAACTTGTTGATTTATCTTTGTGATGAATTGTCCGGCTGCGTGTTTAAAGTCCGCCAGCTTGCCTGTGTGATGCAGCATGTTGGTGGAGTTCGCTGTAACACGTGTGTGTTGTTCTCCAACAGGTGTTGTGGCCGTGCTGTTTTGTGGCATCACCCAGGCTCACTACACGTGCAACAACCTCTCTGAGGAGTCTACAAAACGCACCAAGCAGGTGATATCCTCCATCAAACAGGCCGCTTAATTTTGAACCCTCTATAACTTCCCCCATAATCCGCCAGGGTGATGGTTCCAGGTGGCTCCACGATCAGCCCTGTGTGACCTTAATCGGGGCTGTCTGAGGACATCCGTCCTGACATGACTGCTCGGTTTCCCAGAGGGGACTCAGTCTTGCAGATTAGCATGTAAACACCATGCAGTGTGACACATTTAGATCAGTATGCAGCCTGACTCTTGTCGGCCTGTTTCAGTGCCAGTCACCCTGAACATACAGTGTCGCTGTTTAAAGCTCATTGTGCCGTTTCTTGTTTCCAAGTGAAATTTCTAAAATAGTTTTTCATTCACAGCTCTTTGAAGTTCTTCACTTCCTGGCTGAGAATTTCATCTTCTCGTACATGGGCTTGGCTCTGTTCACCTTCCAGAAACACATCTTCAGTCCCATTTTTATCATAGGAGCTTTTGTATCCTTGAATAAATGAATAAATAATGTATAACTCCTCAGGGTTTGCCATGGCAGTCATGCAGCAGCCCACTGTGTTTTTGACTCAAAAAATGTTTAAATGTTCTTATTTGTGCTAAACTACTGCCAGAGCCTTAATTAATGTCAGATTATAGTCCCTGATCTATTTAGGGAGTAATAAAAAGTTGTTTTTACCGTCATAAATAAGCACAAATATTTCCAAATTAGTACCAAAAACACTTTGATTTTTATTGCAAAAAGTATCACAAAATCCTGGAGGGACTGGAAAGATGTTCAATAATATTATTTAACTTTATGAAGTCATTGATATTTGAATAGTTTTGGAACAGGTTTTATAAAATACATTCTGGCACAACCGGCCCTTAAAGAGCATTTATGATCGTGATTTGGCCCAAAACGAAAATGAGTCTATGTGTTCACGTACTGTGTCACCCAAGAGGCTCTTCAATCTGTCTTTGCTATCACATCTACTGTATATATATAAAAAAACCTATAATAAATAAACACACCATGCCTGGTGGAAGTAAAGACTGGTGGCCCTCCAGGCTTATATTACCATGTGGGGAAACTCTGAATCCTGGAAATACTCCACAGTTTAATAGCATTGGATTTCTTAACCAACTTGTGTCAGATAGCCATATTTATCGGCAGAGCTCTCAACATTTACCCGCTGTCCTTCCTCCTCAACCTCGGTCGAAGGGACAAGATCAGGGGAAACTTCCAGCACATGATGATGTTTGCAGGTACAAAACAAAATCAAAAGGTTCAACTAGTATCACTAATCTCAACAGATTTGGTGTGTAACAGTTTTGGCATGGCAACCTTTCCAGGTTTGCGCGGGGCGATGGCGTTTGCCTTGGCTATCCGGGACACTGCTACCTCCGCCCGGCAGATGATGTTCACCACCACTCTGCTGATCGTCTTCTTCACCGTCTGGGTGTTCGGTGGGGGAACCACTCCCATGCTCTCCTGGCTGCATATCAGGTGACAGAACCGCTCTGGAAATAACAAAACCTCATGAAAAAAAAAAAAAAACATTTTGGGAGAGCATCATATTCCGGACAGTGTATTGAAGAAAAAAAAAAGTCCTACAGATAAAACTGATGCTAATAGAAAACCCAGGATTTTACTGTAATAAATTTTCTGTCAGGTATTGAAGAATTTCTGAAGAACAACTCTTTGTTGCCGTTTTAAAGCAACAAACGTTGCAGAATCCAGAAATGACTTAAGATGGAGGTATAGTTAATGCATAATTATTTGTTACAGTTTTTCTGTCAGAAATTGAATGATCTAAAATTGACATGATAGTTTCTTCTGTAGGCTTTTTTGCTGTGCTAATGTAAGATAATGCTAAACTACACATTTGCTTAACTTATCCAATAGCTTAGTACTAGATACATAGTGAAATCAGTCCCTCTACTTCCTATTTGTTTACATGAAATCCCATTTAAATCATGCTTTATGTTGTATCTAGCCAAGCGGAAAATTGGGCAAGCCTTTTGTGTATTTATTCACTGTTGACTTGTTAGCAACTACAGTCCACTAGTTTAGATGTTTGCTCACACTAGTTCAGAAGAAGCTCTTAGGACGTGACATGGTTCTTCTTGCCCTTGTATGAGAATGACTTGTACCTTTTGGATAAGGACGCACTCGTGTTCATACTATTTACACCCCGGCTGATCAGCCGTGCTCTATTTAAAGTTTTATTTTATGGCTTGTGCTCTTGTTCTGACACTTTTTTACTTCATCTTTTATGAGTTTGGCACCACTCTCTGAGTTGGGCTGGTTTTATGCCGCGCCTGTGCGCACAACCAATAAGGCCACAGAAATCCGGGCAGCATGCAGACGTCTGTAAAGCTGCCAAGTGGGCATGTACAGATGATAAAATTTAAGCAGACCTGGGGGTATGACTTGGGATTTACTAATATCACCATGTTTTTTGTCATACTTGCAGGACTAGTAGCAGCCTCTGGAAGAACTGTGCTAGTCTCACAAATGTCTCAACCAGCAGGTTTTTCGAAGGACTTAACTGATTGAAAGATTTGATGACAATCTTGTCCGACACCGTGACACCTTAAATATGGTAAACCAGTTCACATCGAAGGCTCTACTACGTAATAAAGGTCCAATGTTCATTGCTAGTGAACAAGGAGATCTTTTTGGAACATTGGTTTACTAATTAGCATGTTAAGATACTCAAAGGAACTAAAATCATAAAAACCTCACCTGGTTTGCTTCAGAAAATCAATCAAAGCGCATTAAGACTAAACTGGGCAGAGTTTGAGTTAACTAAACATGCTAGCATTTCATGTTATTTGATTAATCAGTATGATGTGGTCTAATAGCATGGACATTAGTGCAACCAGTGCAGCCAGCTTAAGTATTGTTGCGACTGTCAACAGTATTGAATGCGTACCGAAAAAGCTTTCCAGAATCCCCTCGAACTTGGCATGAAAACATATTTCAATCATAAACCAGGCTTTGAGTTTGTAATTTAATAAGTCGTGGGCTGCCAGGAGAGGGGGCAAGAGTTCTCTGCTGCTCTCAGATGTATCCCAGGAGCTCTGTGGGGAGGAACTGATTTGTCCTCCAGTACAAATAATTTGATCAGTGCGCCAAGTGTCTGGGTCCTGCGTTGTGCCACTGCTGTTGCAGTAATGTGATTTGGTTCTTTTTTTCTTCTTCTTCTTCTTTGGTCTGGGTTGAACACTGCTCCACTTCTATCTGTTGTCTGCCCATGATGCACTGAGAGCTTCGCCTTTATCACGATAGAGCGGATTATCTCATTCCCGGCAGCAGCGGCCTGAGTGAGCAGGCTCTGTTTAATATGAGTAATGCCTCCTCGGACCGGACTGGAGCCATTGTTCGGCAGGGGCTTTAGAGCCCTGCCAAGCTGCCCCCCTCCGTGAACTCAGCTCAGTAGATCCTGGGACATGTGCTTTACCGCATGCAAATGTCAGCAGTGTGGTTTCAGTGTAATCCTATGTAACTGACGACGCAAAAACAACTGGACACTGAGGTTAACAGCAGCCTGTTATTCAGCTCCATATTGGCCTCTGTTTTATTAATGAGGGGCACGCTATCTGTAACTTGTTGTGGCAGAGCATCTGGTGAAGCCGTTTGGATAACCAGGCTCTCGGGTGACGACTGAAATGCGATGTGGGACTGCTGCTGTGTTGTCTGTAAAGAAACATGCTGCTGGTGTTTTGGCGTCAGATGAGGGTCTGTAAGCAGACGAGTGCGCTGCTTATCTCAATGTTTGGCAGCGGAAGACTCCAAGAGCAAAGAGATCCTTGTTAGGTTCTGCTGATACGTTTGAGTTTTTCATTTTCAGGGTAATCCTTTTGATAGTTCATGCAACATCTTTTTTGGCTGCAATGGAGTTTTTCCTTTGACTTTTCTCTCAGGTTAATAATTTCTGTCAATCGTATGAGGGCACAGAAATGATCATTTTGTTCACTTATCTACTGTTCTTTTTATTTCTTCTTTCTTTGCAGTTAATGGCCATCAATTGTATAGATATGTGCAAAATTCTTTAAATAAATAGTTACTGCAAGGACTTTGTGAGGCCAAGATGGAAATCTTAGTTGCAGCTCTGAGGATTTAGCAGCTCCATCTTTTAAAAATGTTTGTAATTCTTCTGACTGTAGATGCTGGTAATTTTAGACCCGTAGTCATTTTTTTCCTACATATCTTTTGACTTATAATGATGAGAACAAGGCAGATAAACAGATGGAAATGAGCTTCCGCATAGTTTTCTGGTTGTTGCATCCCTACAAAAGGAAACTCATCTTTTAGATTATCTTTTATAGATCTAGAGGTTTCAGTGTCATTCCCAGACGAACTCACTCACTCTGAATTGTCTTCATACTGGTTTATTTTTACATAAGCAAATGGTAAAACTCAAAGATGCCAGTCTGTGTATTGTTTTGATCTTCTTATATGCAGTTGCCATTAGTTCAGTTGCTATAAACTGTTTCATATAAATACCTTCATCTCTCCCCCATTGTAGCTTGTTTTGGCATGTTGTTTCCATAGATACAAACCACATTGCCATCTTTGTTAATAATAGTAGTTTAATAAATACTATTATAATCATTTGCATTGTGACTATTTTTCAGAAGATTCCTGTGAATGCTTTGAGACTCTGATTTATTAAATATTTACATATTTTATAGTGAATATGCACCTCGAGTTTTGCATAGACTTACCAGTGAACGCAAATACAATCCCGAAACTTAATAAATGTAACTAAAATGCCATTTCAATAAAACACAATCAATCCAAAAAGTCAGTTTGTTGAAATCTGACTCAAATAAAATAATATTTTCTGGCTATTATTTTTTTGAACGCCTCCTACAGAAATGAGACTTTGTCGTAGTGCAAGAGCTGAGGGAGGAAAAGCGGTAAACTGAGACGTTATATTCCAAAGTTGCAAAGCAGTGGAACTTGTTCCAGTATAAGCACTGGTTTCACTCATTCATCAGCTGAAGAGCAGTGGTGATGTCATCCGGCAGTATTTTTCATGTGAACATATGAACATCTGCAAAGCCTCGTTGCCAAGTGCAACAAAAAAAAGAGGATTATGTTTAGCCCTCGCTGTTGCCAACAGCGTTTTGGGATTTTTTTTTTATATGCTGTGTGGTCACTTTCTACCCAGCTTCACAGTAAAATGTCTCTCGCTTTGACTTGTTTCTTGTTTTGTCACATTTTCCGACCGCAAAGTTCTGTGTCTCTTATGTGATCAACTTCTGCAAAGCAGAGCATAATGAGGAAGCAGAAGAAAAAATAAATGCTTTTCAAATAATTTCCTATAAGAATCTAAAAAAAACAGCACACCTACAGCATGTTGCTGCCACCACCGTGTATCATGGCTATGACCTCCACTATGGGATAGAGTCAAGTAATATTACTTTAATATCTTTCACAGTCCAGCATTTTGTTTCCTCACTTCAGTTTGTCTTTTTTTTAAATTATTGTTATCCAATTTTCCCCTCCAAACAACTAAAGCTTATGACTGAAAAAGTATACAATGTTGCAGGTGACTTACTTTATCATTTCCTTTTCCAGTGCAGGTGAAAAAAAGATGTTTTTGTAAATAAATAAAAAAACAAAGCAGCATTTTCTGAGGATTATGATTTCCTTTAATTCTCCATTTCTACCCAGTGTTTGTTACTCCACCAGATAAACATCTTGCATCTCTGCCTGGTTTTAAATGTTCTCAAACCCTGTGTTTATGATAGATATAGATATGGAAACGGCAAAAGATTTCAAGATGAGAGCCGCCGCCACGGAAAGTGGCAATACTCCAGGTGCCGTATACGAACGCGAATCTGTTCACTGGTGCTAATTGGTGTTGGGGGAGGAAAATCTCCTGGTGTGTTTTGGTGAAGGGGAGTAAAAGTGGGCATCTTCAAAAATTGTCTATTTTAAAAAAAATCTGTTTAGAAAAAGGGTTTGAAACTACCTGGGCGTGGAGCTGACTGTGGCTGAGGTTGAGGCTCTGCTGCCGTAAAATGCTCCAGTCAAGGCTGCTCTTTGTGTTGTGAGAAAAAAATCTGTTCCTCTTTCTTTTTTCTGTAATCTCTGTTGACTAGCCACTTTTTTCTGACTGTTGTTTTTTTCTCCATTCCCTCACACAGGACCATAAAAACCAACCTGCTCTACTTGGAAACGTCTATGTTTCCAAGTAGAGCAGAAACGCTGACATGTAGGGTGACATGTAGAGAAAAAAACCTGAACCGTGATTGCTTCGTCTTTTTTTTTCTTTCTTCTTCTTCCTTGCTCTTTTCAGGATTTGCTTGTCAACAGAAACAAAATTGCTCACAAGGAATATTTGACGGATTAGAAGGAGAAGAGTGGGTTGTTCGGGATTAGGATTACAGGGTGTAATGAAGTGGTGAGAGGATTCTCTCACAGCCTGTTCATATAGAGCCGTCTGTTTCTCTTTATACTGGGAGATGTGAGTTAGGCTCCATGTGCTCCTGTTTTTTTTAACTTTTATTTCAGGAGGAGAGCATTTACTCTGTCAAGTTTGTTCCTCTCAGATACTTCTTCGCTGCATCATTTGCATCGCTATGTTGTTTGCATGCCCCCTGGTGTCCTTGCAGCCTCCTCCCTCCCCCGATCCTCTCTGGTGTGTGTTTAGTTGAGACAAGGGTCTTAAAAGACAGCTGGATGCTTTGGGCTCTTCTTTTGAAACTGCAAAGGTAAAGAGAGGGAGAATCTCTTACCCAGAAAGCCCATTTCCTCCCGGTGACAGTCCTGGAGGGGTTTTAAAGATAACCACACACACCAGTCGGACGTTCCGCGGTGCAGGCAGGATCGGGTGGGATTTAAAACATATCCATGACAGGTTACGTGTCTCTCCCTTGGCATCTGTCCAGATGGATTGGAGTGAGCTGAAAATAAAAGCGCCCTCTTGAGAATCGGCCTGCTGAGGTTGAACACTTTTCAGCTGTTGAGAGACGTAGAAATAAACCATGAGCGACAAAAAAGACTGGAAATGGGCTCATGCTATGTAAATAAATCCTTTCCTTTCTTGGAAATCACTTCGTCTTGAAGAGAGTTTTACAGCAAATTTTTATACAGCAACATTATCTGCTGGTTAGCTCAGCTGAATGGAAAGAAATAGCTAGAAGTGACTGTAAGGGCTTCTCAGTGAATTAGAAAGGATGTAAAAGTCGAAAAACTCTTGAGTTGCATAGACAAATTTGACAGCGATATGTTTAGCATTTGTTTCTGTTCGGCGATAATGGATAATGAAAATCTGACTTATTACATAACCAGACTTAAAACTTTTTTAAAATTACATAGTTATAATGATATGGTCTACACAGTCACACGAATCACACTGCTGATGTGATGGTCATTGATTTTGAGCCCTTGGTCACATTAAATACATTTGGAAAGTTAAATGGAAGGAAAAAATATTTATAAATAGATTTACAAACAACTGACTGGCTGCAGCCTTACAAAGACCAGACCAAATTGAATTCAAGCATTTTTTCGGATAACCAAAAGGTCTGGACTGAGGCTGGAGCTGCGGTGCGTTCCAGTTACGTTGCACGTGGGTTTGATGTTACATCCAGCTCGACAGCTAATGGAAATCATAAAAATAAATTTGTCTAATGGAAATGCGGCAATTAAAAAAAAAACAAATTTTTCTATAAAAACATTTTGTGCTTTTTAAAAATTTTTATTCACATAGAAATGTGTTTATTTCGCAAAACTGCAATGGAAGCATTTTTTTGCATCACACGAGTGACGGGTATCAACAGCTGGACGTTACTATTGGTGGAAAACATGAACAAGGTCACAGGAAGTAGTAGAATTTTAATTTTTTTCCTTTCTGAATTTATTAATTAATTACATTTTTTTGATTAAAAATTTAAATAATGTGTGTAAAAGTTGTAAACGTTTTACAACTTTCACAACGTGCTTTGATTTCACCAGTTTTTTCCTTTCACACTTGCACTAAATAAACTGTCCAGATAGCTGAGAATAATCTCACATGCCACAAAGAGCAGCTTCAACTTTCTAAGCAAGTTAAAATATGACTTGGTTCTGAGGTTAATAAGTTAGGTTTTCATAGAAAAAAAAATGCTAACAGGACAGAAGACCCTCCACGTCTGTGTCATACTTACCTTGTGTCTCTAACTTGCTTTGGGTTAAATGCTGATGTTGGTCTGCGTCTTGGGGAACAAGGTTCAGCACCTCAGCACTTTGGTGTGCAAGGATACGAGTACGTCTCGTAACTTATTGCTAAGCAATAAGTTAAACAGAAGTGACAGAAGTGTTGTTGCTTTGTCTCCCGTGTTGCAGGGTTGGTGTGGATTCAGATCAAGACCTGCAGCCCTCTGGCGACAGCTTCCAAGTCCTCCAGGGGGTGAGGAACTCACTCACACCCACTTTGGGAGTCTCTGGACCTCTGCCACGTTCCGAACACATTCTGCTCCACTTTCTGCTGGGGGTTTTCCTGTTTTGTTGGGGTTTTTTCCGTAGTTTATGAAGGTTCAAACTCAGGAAGTCTAGACACTGAAATGTAGTCTCAGAAAGAAGAAGACGAAAGTAGAAAAGGGAAGCTGTGCGCTGTCAGATGTTATTTTAGGACTTGTCCCTGCAAGCCTACCTGCTGGATCGACTCTTGCCCAATCTGTTGTTTGACTCACAGTAACCTGTAAAACAGGATGTGATTTCTGTTGTTATATTCTGCTGCTATGATCTTAATCTTAAACAAAACATCTTCCCAGCTACAGTGAGAGCAAATCTGGTTCACATGCCAGCAGCTTTAAAGTTTGACTGAAAAATACATGGATGAGGCATGACATTGTGAGATGAGCATCATGAATGACATCGATTTTCTCTTCGCTGTGGCATCTGTTTGTGATGCCAACCATAAGTAAAAGGAGTACAAAAAAAAAAAAAAGTAATCGCTTCTGGAGATGTGCACAGATAGACAGTAGGACATCCTCCAGCACCTGTATTTTTCTTCTGGACAAAAAAAAAGTGTCTTTCCGAAATGCTTCTTTTAAGCATTTATATATTTATAATGCATGGCCCAAGATAACATGTCAAGATTTAGCCTATATTGTCATAGTTCCAATTCTATCCGACCAAATTTTGTTATCAGTTTTCAAGGCTTTTAGTTTAGTTCATTAGTCTTAACTTGCTAAGCATAATTTCTGTCCTACATCACTCTGGCTACATACGACCACAGTCTGTGCTCTTCTTTTGCTATACTCGACAATTCTCACCCCACTATGTCAGCTTACCATGGGCCACACAAAGCTGACCTTTTGTTTTTCCGACTTCAGCACCTGCCCCACAAAATGTCTGCGCACGCGACACAGATGAATGTTCATCACAAAAACTTCCCGCTAGACAGGCGAGACACATACGCCATGGGTTGGATCCACACATTAAACTGATTTGCATTAGATTCGTCATCTGTCATGGTAGCAGTAAAAACAAGTGACTGGTGCTGTTGTCTAATTGCATTCACTGTAACAAAGGCAAAATGTCATTTTTGTTGTTTCTTTTTTTTTTAATCATGTGCTTCTCTAGGATGGAAACCAGGATGAGGGCCAGAGTAAAACCAAACAGGAGAGTGCCTGGCTCTTCAGACTCTGGTATACATTTGATCACAAGTATCCTTTTTTGTGTGTATAAATCCCATGTGACTCAATCACAAGGTGCTTGGTCCACATTTGCTATGCAAACCGGTTCCGCCTGGATTAGATAATTTGACATAATCTTGAGAAATGTTTTGCTTTTCCCTCCTGGTGGCCCACAACGACAGACTAAAGGTAATACATTTAGTGACTCATCCTCCCATTTTCTCCAATCTTCCCATCCCTGCTGAACAATTGTCTTCCCCAGGTGGCTGATTGTGTTTCTGTCTCTTTAAACGAGGCAGCTGTGTTTTCCAGAAGCGGAAAATCCTCCCCCCCTGCTGCCGCACGCTACCTGGAGCCAAAGAAAAGCAACAGACCATTCAATACACTTTAGGTTGTTTCTCCCGAGTGCCACCGACTCTGGCTGTAAATATCCAAACGTGGTACATGGGACCAGCGGATTCCAGTCCTCACCATTTGAACGTGGCACTTGGTTTTCCAAAGCAGCTTAACCTGGTTAAGCTGAGTCCTTCGCTGCAAAATCACATGAACTCACTGAGTTGTTTTGGTCTAGTTTCAACTGCAAATAACATAAAACGAGACAAAACTAACTTACAAGTAACTTTTCAGTAATATTTAGAAGCTGTTTTTATGTTAACAATTCAAATAAAATAAAAGTAAAAGTTCTGAAAAAGTGCCAGTCCACTGGCACATTATGAAAGTGAAATAATCTACCAGTGGAACTGGTACTTTTTAGGGAATTATTGCCTTAAAACAAGCTCCCATATTATGCTCAAAAGAGATTCAGTTTTCTCTTGTTTTGGGTTGCACAGTGGCGCAGTTGGTAGCACTGTTGTCTTGCAGCAAGAAGGTCCTGGGTTCGATTCCTGGTTTTCTCTCCAGGTACCCGGAGAGAAAACCATAGTCCATGACTGTCAGGTTAATTGGTTTCTCTAAATTCTCCCAAGGTGTGAGTTTGTCTGCATAGTTGGTTGCCCTGTGACCCTGTGACCCCTCCTCTTGCCTGGAACCCTAGCTGGAGATGGGCACCAGCACCCCTCATGACTCCACTGGGGAAAAGGGTGTTGGAAAATGGATGGATAAGATACTTACAGTTGACAATAAACCAAAAAAATGTTATTTGTTTGTCTGTTCTCTGTAAAATGAAGAATGCGGCTCAGGTGTAAAAATACCACAACGATCCCACCAGCGCACATCCCTCTAAATTATTACATTTCTGTTGTAACATTTTGCTAAAACCTTTTATGAATCTTGTGTTCCAAGTTTAAATTCAACCTTTTCATTGAGATTTTTTTTTTTCAGATTTGCAATGTGCGTCTCTTATTAATTTTTGATTTCCCTTAATTACATCCCAGTTACCTTAAGCCCATTTTGACACACAGTGGTCCACCTCTGACCTCCACTCTGCCCAGTTACTGTGGCCCACTGGCAAGCTGCCTTACCAGTCCACGAGCATATGAAGTGAGTATTTGTAAAAAAGAAAAAAAAAAGTTGTTTTTTTATTGTGAAAAATATACAAGCTTAAGATCTACATTTGATGAAACAATGCACATCTGTTTTGCCCCATTTATTGCTGTACTAATGTGTGGAAATATCTGGTTTGTAGAACACAGACACTGTGAATCTGGTAGACTTTCTGTGTAATACTAGAAAGATAAATACCTTAGTTGAGGGCAAGAAATTAAAAATGAACTTAATTAAAAATCTTAAGGTATTAAACTCAAATTAATCTGCTGTTTTTAAAGCTGGTAAATGATTCTGAAACACTTTTCTGACACTCAAAGAGCCTTCAGGGACACAAAACATGAAGCCAGAGCTGGAATATGGAGAGAGAGTGTCTATTATTTACAAACATTTAAGGATTTTTAAAATATTAATATTTAAAAAGCCCTTTTTTTAAACAGGTATTTGTTGATTGGATGTCTAGTTGCTTATTAGCAACAGAGAAAAAAAAAAAAGAGAGCAATTTTGCTTTTCCCCAAGGATCTAACCTTTTTAAATCTGTTTGTCAGCTTTAAAGAAAGTAAAGATCCTTAAATGTGATTTTATTCATTTTTTTTATCCATCTTGCGTTATTCTGGGGCTGTAGGTTTAAAAACAAACAGCCAAATCGGTGTAACAAACTGTCCTCAGAGTCGAGTCTGTCCCTGAATACTGAAACCGGTTTCTTCCTCTCCGAGTATCCACCAAGCATTCAGCCACACAGAGCCGAGGCCTTCGGCAGGCAGCATTTTAAAAACGGAGGGATGAGAGGAGGGGGCTGCATTGTGTCGGCACAAAAGACGCTTTTCAGCTCCGGCTCAAAGATGACCAGTGTTCTGACAGACACTGCCCTCTGATATTTAAAACACAGAAATGCCCATTGAAGCTCTGGTCACACTCACTTCACTTTCATCAGGGCTTCTTTTTGTTCTCTGTTCTATGAAACATGCGGGGGATTTTTATTTTATTTTTTTCCCTTCCCACTGAAAATGATCCGTTCCAAATTGGATTCCTGCACATAAAAATGGATTGTATTTTTTGCGGTTTCTGTAATTTTCAGCAGTAAACGATTTAGATGAAGATGTTTTCTCCCTGCGGTCAGGAAGCTGCAGCCATGCCACGTCCAATCTGGACGTAGGGGGTTGCCAGTGTGGCCGGCCACGTGGGGAGAGCCCGGATTAAATAAAGCTCAGTGTCTAGTTCCTCTTTAATTATGGATATTATGAAATGCCTCTCTACTGAAACTGATACAAGACCTTAAAATGCTGATGCAATTCATAATGCTTCTACAGCTGGCTTAAGTTGTTTTGTTTTAGGGCTTTTTCTATTGTATTTTATTTGTAGAAATTGACATTACAAGCTGACAGAGGGGAACAAATTGAAAATCCATCAGTCTGCCTTTTAAACCCCCCGCCCCCCACTGTGACGACCTGAATTCAGACCTTAATCTTTACAACTGGGCCACAAAATTTACAGTTTCCTGTTCTAAACAAAACGCCCCTGCTACTTTGTTGACATTTACTGCTCGAATGGAACTAAATTCAAGATTTGTTTGGACCAGATGTTAATGCTCTTTGTGCTCACGTGACTGCAGCAGCAGCAGCAGCAGCAGGAGGAGGAGAGGAGGAGGAGGGGTGTGTGCGCGATTAGGGATGGCTGTGTGTTTCTACTTTAATTTGGAGGGAGCTTCTGTTAAACTATTTAAGAGCACAAACGATTTCAATGGATTCATTTCCAAATGCGTCTCCTTTCCCCTTAAAAATAGTTTCCCAGTAATACATAGTTATGCAATTTTTTTTGGTGTCGTATCCAGTGAGCTGAATAATCCTGTCATTGACCTGGCATTGACTCCTTTCCGCCCCCGGTGGACATGGGGGCTATTAAATCCCAGATCAGTCTGGGTTGTTCAGCTGTTTGTCGTTTAATCAACATGTGTTTTCTTTCTGATCTGAGGCGTTTGTGAGTCATCTCTGTGCCTGTTGGTCTGGGCATATGTGTGATTCAAGGCGGCCTGTGGTTTCCTGTTTTCATCTTACCTCACTAGCTGCTGCAGTATTGGCGATCAAATGAAAGTCTCTCTGACCTAGTTCTCCTAATTCAACTCACCTGAAAAAAACCCTTTCTATATACAGTTAACTAACATCTCTACCTATCTCAAGCTGATTAACTAATGTATATCAACTAACATATTTCTAGCTAAGCTATCTGGAACTACCTAACTAACATATCTCTATCTATAACTATTGATTTGTAAATACTTGGCTTGTACCGATTTGTTGGTTGGTAAACTATTTAGTTTTTTTTTTTTTTTTTTTTTTTTTTTTTACAATATTGTTAATTTACCAAAATAAAGCTAATCTGAAATGAAGGCTCCTCTCAGATAGCTGTAATCCAGCGTCCCTCATGAGTATTTATACTGTTGATGTCCATTCATCTGTTCACACCTCATGTTTCACTCTGGGTTCTGTTTTCAGAACCATGAGCAGCTAAGGGATCCCGACACTGACTTGATCCACAACGACGCCGACCTGACCTTCACATTCGGCGACACCGCCATCACCGCCAACGGGGCGTCCGCCGGCAGGGCGGATGCCGCCGGGGGGTTGGGCTGGAGCGCAAATGGAAAGAGGAGCGGCAGCACGTCAGAGGAGGCCCTGGAGCGGGAGCTGGACTCCCGCGAGCAGGAGCTGCTGAGCCGCGGCACACGCCTGGTGTTCCCCATGGAGGATCACATCTGACCTCCCCCGCCCCGTCCGTACCAGCCGCTCTCCCTGGCCCGACCCTCACCCGCACCATCTTGCCATTAGTTCTCTCCACTTTCACATGGGCAGAGTGCCCGGCGCTTCAGAGATGAGACGGATCTGAGATATGGGATCTGACAGGAGGGGAAGGGTTCATCGTGACCTGTGGCTCCAACAAAGCCAGGAGGAGCAGAGCTCCAGGATCGTTTCATCCTCATTAGATAAGAAGTTTATTCCAAAGAAGACACGATGCCCCTGTGGTGTTGTGGGAAAAGAAGAAAAAACTCTCGCTGCTGCTTCACAGACTGCGTTCTCTGCAGAAGAGGATTTAAAAACGTTTTTTTGACAGGAAATGGAAGTGACGTCTGGCCATGCAAGACTATCTCTGCATGTTCAACACTTGGTTGTTGTGCTGGAGGAGAAAATGGGTCTCATGGTGGGACGTGACCAGAGTGTCTTCATAGTTCAGAAACCACATAAAGAGACTTTGACTAAAGAGTTCTTTGGTAAAAGTCTACCTGAAGACATTTACTGCTAAAACCACAGCGTCCGGTTGTCTTGTGAAACATCTGCTGCTGAGGACGTAAAGGAACGTTGAAGCTATTTTCTTCTCAGTCGTGACTTAACACAAGCATCCAAATGCCTACAGAGCCAGGCTTTGATTCTCACTGGTGGAACTGTTCATTGAAGGCCTATTACATTTACAGATGGTATGTGAACATCTTGTCATTCGGTTGCCCTAGATCAGCTGTGTTCAACTGTGTCTCATGACACAACTTAGAAACCCTGACATGTTTAAATTCCATTAAGGAATAAAGAAAGGGCATGAGGATTTGCACTCTAACGTGATTAAAGACCAGCCTACACAGTGAAGTAAAAAGCATGCCGCTGTCGCGTTCATCGTCCTTTGAATGTTTGAAGCGCCTACTGCAGCTGCAAAACGTTTGGTAAAGTGCGCAAACCTTTACAAGGCGGAAATAAGAATTTGAAAGCGTTGGAAGATTTATATTTTAGAACAAGTGAAATTAATCATTTCAGTTTGGTAACTTAACAGTGTTTTAGTGGGATGTCATTTCCGCTGCTGCAATACAAATATTACTACGAATACTTTTTTTTTTCTCTTTCTTTTTTTAGTTTAACGGCTCATTACGAAGCCAAAAATTAGCTGTGAAAAATACCATCAAAATTAAGTAGTGCTCAACAGAGATTTGGCTCAGATCATCCTTAAAACATCAGATCTATAAGAACTTTTTTCTTTCTTTACGTCTTTTTTTTTTTTAGCTTAAAATCCAAGGAAGAGCTAGCTCAGTTGGCCTAGATAGCATCTGTAAGGCTTCATAATTAGCATGTGGGTAGTTTGTTGCAGCTGTGAAAAAATAAAGCGTTAAGCAGGGATCGCTTCTAGAGACAGATCTGTACAGATTTCACAGAGTCTAAAATGTGTTTTGAAGAGGAAGGGAATTTTACTGCACGTTTACTCTCACATCCCAGCTTATTTAACATGAAGACCCATAATAAAGACAGAACACATTTCCATCTATATAACCTCAGATATTTTGAAGTGCAAAAAACATTTAGAAATTATATAATATATATATATATATATATATATATATACATATATATATTTAATTATCTTTAGAAATGGGCTGGACGTTTTATCTCGAGAATTTTTGAACTCTTATTTTAAACTCTGGAAGGTTATGCATCAGCCACAATCAAACATTAGTAACATTCCCTCTCTAGTAAATAATTCACAATCACTTCACATGAAGATTAGATTATTACTATGACAGGACACAGTTAGCTTAGGGGGGTTAGCGACCCCCCTAAGCTAACTGTGTTAGCTCGAGAAGCTGTGCACTTGCAAAAGGAAAGAGAATCGGTTTGAAAGTGTAAAATAAATCAGTCGTAAACTGACGACACTACATAGTCAAACAGTCAATTTCTGATTTCATAACTAATTTTATAATCTATATTCACCCATAGATTTCCCCAAGAATATTCATTTATTTTATTTTTTAGTCTGACTTATTAAAGTTGTCCATTAAAATAAAATGTTGATGCTAGTTGTATCAAAATTCAATTGCACTGAAATTTGGCACATCTTATATCATTGGTCGAATTCCAGTGAGATAAAGGACGGCAACACGCCAACGGCATATAAATACTCATTTTAGAGCTCAGAAATTTCATCTCTAAGCTCCGTAATATATTAATATAGGATTAGTTGAGGTTTTTGCTGGTTTACTTCCGGCGAAAACTTCCTATTTTTAAGTTTTCCCTCTGATGATGGTGCATTAAACTCCAGCGCCACATAAAAAAAATAAAAAAAACACGAGCAGTGATTTGCGTTAAAGCACTCTTGGCACTTTATAGCCCATGGAGGAGCCAGAGGACTGGCATTTATCTTCACTCTTACACATATAACTGAACTGCTTCCCTTTTTTTTGTATTCACCACACAGTCCCATTTAGCCCTTTAAATCCACCTTTTCACCAACAGCGAGTAGCTGCTGCATTATGCACGAGTACATGGGGGCAGGTGTGAAAGGCATGGCTGTGGGCGTTGAATACGAGGCCTTTTACACAGGGGGACGACCTCGAAGCAAGTTTTTCGGCTTGCCAGAGACGTCCGGGAGGAAATGAATCTGGTAGAGTAAGCTGTTGCCAGGCTGAGCACAGAGCAGGACATTTAAACCGAGCTGCTGTAAGGAGACGTGCTGTGAAGCAGAATGATCTCGGCGCTTCACAGTCTGGTGATTATCCGTGACTGTGAAAACTTGTATGTACAATTTTAGACGATCACCTGTTCGCCCTTACTAAACACCGCTAACGCTCACGCCGTCTCTGGGGGGAAAAAAGTGGGACGAACAACCTCCCAAATTGACTTGTGTGCAGAAAATGAAATCAGACAACGGAGATGTTTTCGCTTCGTGTTGGAAAATGTCCCTTTCCGTCTCTCCTTTATTCAAAGACAATTCACAGAACAGGAACTTGCATGGATTGAGACATGATGTAGTGTTGTCCCCTCAAAAGACAAGGGGGAGAACTCAACAGACAGCAAACCCAAGAGAGTCGCGCAGTACGGCAAGCAGAGGACACTTGTTGGACTCTTTGCTAATCTTTCATATGCACTTCTTGCCCTCCACACCGCTGTGCTGTCAGCCTGTCGGCTATATTTAAACCTTCTCTGCACCTGAGAAATATGAGATGTAGCCAAAGTGTAAATATGTGCACCTGTCGTCTCCAGCGGCGGCTGGATGACAGGTTCTGTGTGCCATGGTCTGCATGTCAACATGTCAATAAAAATCTTGAAGTTCTGGGTTCGCCACTGCTGTGCTCCACTTAACTCAGAAAGCCTTTTAGTTCAAGGATCTAAAGCTGCAGTATGTAACTATCTTGTTACATACTGCAGCAAACGAATTTGTTTGTTGCAGTATGTAACTGCAGCAAACAGTTTGCTATATGCTGCAAACTGCATATGGTTTTCTTGCGAGTATGACATGACAGAAAATCTGTGAAAAGATCAATCTGCTCCGCCTCACAGCAGAGCTACGGCTGCTAGCTGAAGAAATGTATCTGCTCCCGACCAACAGCAACCAATCAGAGCTAGGTCAGAGCTAGTGCTCAGTGTTGCTAAATGTTCTAACAACATTTAGTAAGTCCTGTAACAGTGACTTACTGTTACAGGAGAACCACATGAGATTGATTGACGGCACTAAGCCCCACCTTTTCGCTCTGATTGGTGGTTTCTTTTTAGAAACAACCAAACTGGGAAACTGGGAGAAGGCGGAGGAGCTCGCTCTTTTCACAGATTATCTGTCTCATGCCATACTGTCACCGCATGGTGACAGTTTCAAAAAATATGTAAAGTTATAAAAATTACACACTGCAGCTTTGATAAAATGCACTCTAGTTTTATCAAATGCACCACTCGCCACTAATTCGCCTTGAGTTTAGACATTGTGATTCCAAAAAACCCCCAAACACATCAGTCACATACTAGAATGTTAAGTTATAGTGATATCATGATAACAAATGATAACCAAATGTGTTTCAAATGGCCATAAAATAATGGCCTTAAACCGGCACCGAATAGTTACTTTATGAACTAGTACATCAATATATACATGCATATAAAATGCTCTGCAAAAGTATTCATGCAAAACATGATTCAAGCCTGTAAAAAAAAACATTGCTGTGATCATATGGGAGCGACATTGCAGAGGTAGACTCATGTCTTGAGTGGGGACACTGATGTGGAGATGGATAGAGCTAAAACAAGGTAATACTGGAATTTGACCTGTCTTTCTTACATGAATATGACCTTAAAAACACAGCTAAAGCTTCAGTCGTTTGGTTTTCAGAATGACTGAAATGTTTTCAGCCTGCATTCAGTAGTGTGGAAGCACTACTGAATGTACAAGTGTTATAAAGTGCTATACAAGTACGATCAGTTTACCATTTGCTGCTCGGACACCAACATGTCATTTTTTTGGCCTTCATTCAGAAAGCTGACCCAGCCCATTACCCTGAACTCACCATCCCCAGAGTGAAACACGGTGGTGGCTGCATCATGTTATGGAGATGACTGGACAAGAAGGCTGGTTTGAATGTATTTTTTTTTTTATAAAGAATATAATTCTTCACAATTATGCTCCACTTTGCATGCTGGGGAAAAAAAAAATCCCAACAAAGAGCGTCTGACTACTTTTGCAAAGCATTATACATGATGATCAGCTGTGATCTGCTGCAATTGAATAATGTCCTGTTTAAGAGTCCCATGTTTTGTTGCTGAAGCCATGTTCCAATTGTACTTTTCATTTAAGGGAAGTACTTCGGACAAAACCCAGATCATGTAACAGAGGATTCTGACAGGTCAATAATCAACTGTATGAATCTGGAAATCATGACAACAAGATTAATACAAGCAGTAACATACATTCGTTGAACTTAAATAGCTTGAAGGTCCTCCTTTCTGTCACACTTCCACAAGTATTCAAGTAAAAGTAATTCTAACAGAACCGACTTCTGAAATCGAACGCGTCGACGGTGTTGAAATGCCTCCTGGACCACGGGGACGTCACCGGATCGGAGGACGCTGTGGACCGTTGCGGATTGAAGGAAACGAACGCAGAGGTCCACCGGTCGGAGGACAGAAGCAGGTCGTCAGGAATTCTGCGACTGATCAGAAAATTTCACACCCATGTGAGAGATTTACTCTTGCAGCTGTCTGGATTCCTGAGAGGGGCCAGGGGCGGAACAATAGCCTCTCAGTAAAAGGGGTTTGGGGGGTTTTTACCCCACCCCAGAAAAATACTGTAGTTTCTCCTTTCAGCACTGTTAGTGAGCCAGTCTCTGTCTAATACCAGTAAGTCAGTAATGCAGGGGGGTTGCTGTTGTGCTGAGTCACAGGCCGGATGGATGAATCTCTCCAGTAAGGCTGAACTTAACGCTGCCACCCTGGATCCATGTCCCGAGAAAGGCCCCCCATCTCAGGTTTTTTTTTTATGGCCCCGGTTTGAACAGGATTTGAGGAGGGATTAGTGCTTCTAAAAAGGACAGAGGTCGGCCAGAGTAACAGCAGCACAAACCAGCCCCCGTCTCTTGTTTTGTAACCCCCCCCCACCCCAACTCCTCCGTGTCTCCACGGGACCCTGCTGGTGTCGAACAGGCAGCACGGTGAGAAAATAAGCTTCCTTCTCCCCGTTTCAAATCCAACTGAGTCCTATTGGCTGCTCTTTCTCTCCCCCTCACCCCGTCGCCCATCCCCACACACACATGCACCACCTCCTCCTCCTTCTCCTCGTCTTTTCAGTATCACCATTTCTCCAGTTCATCAACCCAGCTCGGGTGAGGATAAAAACAACCCAAGAGGCACGCTTGAGAGCTCCTAGTGGACTGCATTCCTGGAGCCTGTTTTGTTATTCCACCTTCTGCCCCTCAGCCTTGATTAGGAGGACCCTGCAGGAGGGGAGAAACAGAAAAGTTAAATACTTAAGTCACGCTACTGCTGCACAGTGAATCAGAGGCATTCGAGTGGCGCAAAAAAAAAAGTGGGTATGTGCGAACGCGACGCCCGCTAAAAGAGGCGCCACACGTCGGGGATGGCTTATTTCTAGGTTTCTGTTGAAAACCTGCCTGGAAGTGCCTATAAAGTGTCTACGTAGACCTCAGTAGGGACAGCGGGACACTGCGGGGAGGCGACGGTGGACCCCGACCTCCACGCTGACGGCTGGCAGGCCTCGCGGCGGTGAAGGACCTCGCTTTGTACAAGCTGCTGGTGACAGCGTGGTTGCAACCCCGCTGGGAGCTCTGCCCCGCCGCGGACCGCCACGAACAATGGCTCTCTTCTTGACAGCACAGTGACTCACTGCCAGCCCCTCCAGCTACCCATGAGGGGACCGGGCCATGCCAGGGACACAACAACGAGCCCTCTGTGGAGCAGCAGAGCTGCTGGTCGTTAAAGGGAGTTGAGATATTTCTGATGGTCTCACTTTGAAGGCTCCAGTTATTCACTTACACTAGTTTTAAGACAGCAGTGCTGCAATATATATATATAGGCCTATATATGTTTTTTTTTTGTTACGAACACAATAAATCACATGCAGTGCACCTTGGTAATGTATTTCTAACCCTTCAACTTGACATTTTTTCCTCACTACAACCACAAACCTGAACTGGGTTTTCTTAGATTTTATAACATACACAAATAGCTGTATATGAGGAAATGATGCATGGTTTCTTCTAAAGGTTTTTTTTTGTTTGTTTGAAGATAGAAAAAAAAAAAGAGCATCCACACAGCATGATACCACCATTGCCGTGTTTTCACCATCGGGGTGATGTGTTCGGGGTCTTAATCGGTGTTACTTTCCCGTCACACAAAGTCTTTGTCCCCGTCTGATGAGAACACCGTATGGGTTTCCTCTCAACACTTTTTACATAAAGGCCAAATCTCCATTATACTGTCCATCGCTAATGGTCATCCAGCTGAGGCTAAATCACACATAAATAGACTCTTATTTAGTCATGTTGGGTAACTATCCACCTTTGGGCATCGAACACAAGGGATGTGTATAAAAAACTGTATTACACTGTTTTTTTTGTTTTTTTTTTTTTTTAATGACTGTCTTAGTATCATTTCCCATTCACAGAACAACTATCCACTACTTTGGGTCAGAAAATCCCCCAAGAAAATATTTATGGTAACAACAGGTCAGAAAGTAGAAGGTTCAACACCGTGCAAGGAGCTTGGCTTTATCAGTCATTAGCCAGAGTTATCTACTAAAAGGGAAAGGCTGATCTGATCAGTAAATCTGTAACGCAGCAGTAAATTATTGTTAAACACCACTGAAACAACAGAGAACAAAGTGCAAACAATCAAACGGATATCGCGGGTTTTATCACTTGAGATTGATAAAAAACGAGATCGATGCGTGGATCTGTTCACTTTGGGAGGTTCAGGCTGGAACAATCCAAGACTGCTTTCACATGTTTACACGGCGATTGCGTGAGGCGGTGCGTGACCCCTTTTTCTGTGATAAATACGAGCGAACTGTTTTGATCACAGTTCGCTCTTGGGGCTTTGGTTTCAGTCAACTGAAGGTCAGAGGTTGGAACCCTGCAGCGAGCACTTAACCACTTCCTGTGCAGATGGAAGCGCAGAGATCATGCAAGGAAGGTATAGAGAGGCAGCACTACTGCTTTCTCTCTGAGACAGAATTACAATCTTTGCATTTTGTGTGTGTGTGTGTGTGTGTTTCTTTACACGCTCTTACCCCCACACACTCTCACACCGCCGCCGTGTTCCTCTCGTAGCCCAGCTGCCTCATCACCTCGCTGCAGTAGGCCTCCACCTGGCCGATCTGCTCCACGTTCAGCCGCTCCCGCCACGCGTAGATCGCCTCCTTCGCGTCCCTGGACGATATGAGGAAGGGCTTGTCCGACGAGTAGCCGTGGCCGCGCGTCATGTTCAGCGCGAACCTCTCCAGCGCCGGGAAGCTGGAGAGGTTGGAGAAGCGGAAGAGCCGCTGCAGCTCCTCCATGGGGCGCAGCACCAGGTCCTCGTAGCGGAGGCGCAGGTAGCTCCTCCTCACCCACGGCGGAGCGCTCATCACCAGCATCATGTCGCTCAGCCAGTTGTCGCAGATCAGCTCCATGGCGCTCGCCACGTAGTTCTCCGCGCGGTTCATCCTGTTGCTGGGCACCAGCAGGCGCTTGTACTTGTCGCTCTGCTTCTTGCTGCGCAGCACCTGGATGCTCTCCTTCACCAGGGCCTGCTTGGACTTGAGCCGCGAGTTGTGCACGGCCCGCGGGTCCCTGAAGAGCTGGACGATCTGCAGGTTGATCGCCGGGTCCCGCATCAGCGGGAGCAGCGTGCTCAGGTCCAGGACGCGCACCCCCTTGATCACCATCACCGGGTACTTCTTGCACTCCCTCTCCAGCTCCCGCAGGTCCCGCCTCTGGCACTTGGCGCACCGGTCCTCCCTCACCAGCCCGACTTCGTGGCGCCGGTGCGCGTCGCACAGCGGCTCCGAGCAGATCACCTTGTTCATCTTCCAGCCGAAGATGAACGCCGTGGTGACGTTCTGCGAGCCGGCGTAAAGTTTGAGGACGGAGAAGTCGCAGCGGTACAGGGAGTTCATCATGTCGCGCACCGCGCCCTGCAGGCTGCCCGCGTCGCCGGGGTACAGCGCCTGCCAGATGTGCCACATGGGCTCGTACAGGTAGAACACGTCCGGGTGCTGGTTGAACAGCTCCCCCAGGAACGACGAGCCGGTCCTCCAGGTGGCGTGCAGGTAGATGTGCGTCCGGGACTGGCTCCTGTTCGTCGGCGCCGGGTTCTCCGGGGCGTCGCTGCCGTTGCCTTTGAAACCGCTATCCCACAGGAGCGCCACCGTGTTCTCCAGCTCGGGGCATCGCGGCTGCTGCTGCGGCAGTTTGGCATTCTGGGCGGATTTGTCCCGGTTGTCCAACACGTAGGGGACGAGCAGAAGTAAGCCTGTGTATGCCAGAATCAAAACCAGGTACTTCTTGTGGAGCCTCCTCTTCATCTCCTTTCGCCGAGAGGGGGGCTGGAAGCTTGTTTTCACAAGAGTGCGAGGCGCGGCGGTCTGTGGAGCGCCCCGGTCGCTACTGTGAAGTTATTCCTCCGTGTGCGAGTGCGGGTGCGGGTTCGCATCATTTTTCACCCGGCGAGGCGGAGCGGCGCTCTGGGTAGGCGTGGTGTCGAACGGAGCCTCACCCCCGTCCGGGAGGCAGTCAGAGGCGAGAGAAATGGATCCGTTGCCGTGTTGTGATTGTTTACGTTCGGAAATGTTGCGCATGCGCACAACGCCGGGGGTCGGGGGGCAAAAAGCCTGTTCTTTTACGTCAAAGGTGTCAAACTCCAGTCCTGGAGGGCCGGTGTCCTGCAACTTTTAGATGTGCCTCTGCTGCACCACACCTGAATGGGATAATTAGGTCATTAAGGCTCTGGAGATCTTATTGAGACAAGGAGGAGGTAATTAAGCCATTTCATTCCAGCGTTTTGTAGCTGTGGCACATCTAAAAGCTGGAGGTCACACTGGAGGTCAGGACTGGAGTTCCAGACCCCTGCTCTAGTGCCATCAGGAATCAGCACACAAAAATACACACAAGGGGGAGACTTTTCGTAAATTGTTTCAGGTGGAGATTTTCATGGCGAGTTAACGTCCTAAATGGAAAAAAAAAGTAAAAATAATTTATATATTTTTTGTTGCTCTTTTCCTATTGCTAGAAATGAACTAAAATCATTTTATAGACCAACAAAATAGAAAAAAAGCCCCTAAAAAAGTGAAATAACTGTAAACATTCAGGAAAATGTCAGACTACTCTTGGTAATATTTTAAACAAGTAAAATATTACTTGTTTAATTTATTGTTGTGCAGGTAAAGGAAGACAAAACAAAATCATAATATTTGTGTGTTATCGAGTGGGGGGAAAGGAAATGTTTTTTTGTTGTTGTTGCCTAAAAGCTTTTTGAAATAATAATAATAATAAAAAGTCACTACCTTTTCCTTGCCAATAAAAAAAAAAAGCTTTCACTTTGGCCATTTTTTTAGAAAGGCAACAATATGCAGCGCAGTGGCAAAAAAAAAAAAAAGCAAATAAATATTTGTTGAAAATGTTCCTGCATTTCATTTATTCATTTATTTACTTACCTTTCCTGAGCCCAGTACGGAAGAGGATTAGGGCCACTGGAAAAAAAAAAAAAATGTCCGAAATTTTTTTTTTCAGTGGTTCAGAAAAGGTTAAAAAAGAAGAAAAAAAATTTTGTGGCCCAGAAAAAAAAAAAAAAAAAAAAATTGTGCCGCAGAAAAAAAAAAATCTGTGCCAGAAAAAAAAAAAAAAAATCTGTGACAGAAAAAAAAAAAAATTGTGGGCCAGAAAAAAAAAAAAAAAAAAAAAAAAAAATCTGTGAAAGAAAAAAAAAAAAAAAAAAAATTGTGGGCCAGAAAAAAAAAAAAAAAAATTGTGGGCCAGAAAAAAAAAAAAAAAAAAAAAGTCAGAATTCGGACTGATGGGCGCCAGCAGCAGCCACACAGACGCAGGTTGAGTTACGGCGGACAGCCAATGTTCTGGAGAAAATGTCTGATTTAAGCGACTTTTTACGTGCCAGAAGAGTACCAGAAGCGTCCATTGCACTAATGGAAGAACAAAAGGTGAGTAAATCAAATGGGATAGTTCAGTGTCTAAAGCCGAACGGTTATAGCTAGCTGTTAGCATGTTTGTTAGCATACGCGGTTAAAGGAATAAGCTGATTTACAATGTTAAATCACACGGATGAATAAAGGATATAACAGCTGTTAATTGCTGGAATTGTCTCTAAAGTGTTTGGGATGTTTATTTTATTGTTCTTCTGTTTGAATGTTTTACAATTAAACTAAGGTTAGCTGTATATGTCAGCCACCTTCTAAATAAGATGTCTGCTGTGTTAAACTGCAACTTTTAGTTCAGTAGAGGACAGAAACTATAGTACAAAGTGACAAACGTTTATAAACACAGCTAATCAATCCAGTTCTTCCTCTTTTTCAGTAAAATAGAGGACTGAACATTTACTGCTGCTATTATTGTCATTCTCCCCAAACAGTAAATTGCTTTAAGCAGAAACGTAAGGATACAATCTTAAATGTAACTTTGATGTTGATTTACAGAGTAAATAATTGTCCTTTCTCATCTTTTTCTGTGCAGATTGACTGTGATGCCGTAGGTCTCATGGACGATGCAACACTTGAAAACTTCTTACCTTCATATGGAGACAGAATTGCTGTTTTCAACTACTGCAAAAGCAAACAGCCATTGTCCAAAAGAAAACAAGGACTTCTTCAAAAGCTTCGGGACAAAATGAAGAACAGAAAGGAAAGTCCACACGAGACCATGACACATGAAAGTACAAGACAGAAAAAGAGGCCAAAAGGAACAAAAAATGTTGAGATTGGATGGATACATAGTGATGGAAAACTACCAAACAGGTGAGAGCAAAGCAGGGAGGTGGCACTAGAAAAATTCAAATGGCCAGTGATTCTGGATTAAAAGACATTCTTCAAGAAGGAAAGACACTTTTTTTCCTGATGGAACATCTCCTAAGGGACCTGAAACAGATTTTGAGTTTGAGGTTTGGGACTTTAAACAGAACCTTCTTACAGAAGACACCGGCCTAACTATTGGGAAAATGTATGAAGCAGTGAGACTGTCAATGTTGCGCTTCTACATTGCAACAAAACCAAAAGATGCAGAAGAAGATAACAGTGACGCATCTGAAGTTGTGTTTGTTTTGGAAAGCAGTAGCAGCTAATTTAATCCATTACAGGTGGTGGATGTCAGGAGGACATCCACCACATCCATCTGTTGAAGTCCAACAGAGTTCAGAAGTTTTTGATGATTCCCAAATTACTTTTGGTCCCATTCTTGATGCTGAAGAAGATACAGATGACACATTAATCTATGAGGGTTTTGTTGTTCCCCCCAGTCCAGCAAAATCCAGAAGATGCAATAATGATCACTGTACGCAATGCTGACACTTTACATGACCTTATTACTGCTTTCTCTGATGAAGAAATTATGAGAAAAACACTGAACGTAACGCGCATACTTCCAGACAACACAGAAGAAGCAGGCACTGGCTCAGGAATACTGAGAGATGTACTCACTTGCTTCTGGAATGAATTTTATGAGCGATGCACCCTTGGTACAACAGTGAAAGTGCCATTCATCCGCCATGACTTTCAAGCTGAGAAATGGAAGGCAGTTGGACGAATCCTTTTGAAAGGTTACCAAGACTGTCAGTATTTTCCAAATAAAATTGCAATCCCTTTTCTTGAACAAGTGCTTTTCAATAATGTTTACAGTGATCTTAAAGCACATTTTCTACAGTTTGTGAGCAGCCAAGAATGTGAAGTTTTGAGGGAGGCAGTTAAGAATTTTTCTGCTGTTGACCTTGATGATCTTGTGGAAGTTCTTGACAATTATGGCTGTAGAAAAATAATCACTCCTGAAAGTCTCCCTACAATCCTTGATGAAATAGCTCACAAAGAGCTCATCCAAAAATCGATGTTCGTCATTGACTGCTGGAGGGAGATCATCTACCCACATCTGTCCCTCAGCCCAGAAGCACTGACCAAGCTGTTCTCAGACCTGCAACCAACTTCCAAAAAAGTCTGTCAGCTGCTGAAATTTGCTCTAGATTTAACTCCAAAGCAAAAGGAAGTACAGAGTCATCTCAAAAGATTCATAAGAGAGCTGGATGACATAAAGCTTCAGAAATTTATGAGATTTTGCACTGGATCTGATCTCATTGTGACAAACTGCATATTTGTGGAATTTCAAGATATGACAGAGTTCACAAGAAGACCAGTCGGACACACATGTGGAAGTACTCTGCAAATAGCAGATAGCTATGAAAACTTCCCAGATTTTAGATCTGAATTCAATGCAGTTCTTGACAGCAATGTCTGGGTAATGGACATTGTTTGATTCATCGTGCAATGCATTACTTTTGAAATGTTCAATCAGTACAGCAGAACTACAAAGACACATAAAGAAAAAGTATTTTCAACAGAGAGAAATTATTGTTGTTTAAAAGAAATTGATGGAAGTTAGCCATTTCTATTGGTAGCTCAGTTTTTCACTGAGAATATACAAGTTTCCTTTGTTCTCACTAGTTTTACATCATACAAAGAAGTTGCCACAAACAAATTAATAGCTGTTTGTTACATCCAAAAGCATCTTGACTTGATCTCAGATCTCCAACTGCCGAATAGAAACCTTAAATGGAAACAATAAAAATATTGTTAGAGAGCTATAAAATTAAAATAAAACTTGCTTTTAAGCTTTCCTTAGATAAGAAGTAAGACTTTCAAATTCATTTGTTATTTAATAATTGGGTCTACAATAGATGTAGAATACAACAAAAAAATTGATTTATATAGAAAATCTTGTACAGTGTGTCCACACTTGAAACTTGTAAATACGGGCCAGTTTATTTTGAACTTTTTATGTCCGCAAAATGTTTTTCAAACCACGCATCTGTTAAGGAGCATTGAGGTGTTAGTGTTTTGTATTTGCTGTTAAATACAAACATACAATTTAAAGTTATAGAAAACATTCGTCTACATTTTCCTTAATTTTATAAATGTTATTGTCACTAAGCATATGTGCTGTTAATCTGTCATCAATCAAGCTGTGTGATTCTCAGTATGTTTTGAAGAAAACCACTTGTTCCTAATGTTAGAAATAAAAACAATGCAATGGAAAAGCTGAGGTTATTTGAACAAATGTATGCCATTTTGTCATGTTCAAAAACAAGGTATTGATCTAACACCTGTCGACAAGATAGATATTTTGTATGTGTATTTTATCAATTAGCACTTATTCCATCTGTGCATCTGAGATGATGTTGTTTTTGATAACAAAAGCTTTAATGTTTTATACTAATTTACGGCTGTATACAAGGTTATATTCAATCTGAAAGTTTGTTTTAAAAGTTAGGTCATTCTAATGACCATGTTTTTTTTGGATTAGCAAAAGAAATGTTGTTATATTTTGCTAATAAAATGTTACTTTACCAAATACTTTTCTATTATGGTTTTCAATATGTTAGCTAAGCTTGGCTTTTATTTGAAAAGGTCTAATAACCAAAAGTATTGAAATTGTTGAATTTGAAGATAGTTATAAAAACTAAGAAATGTTATGTTTTTTTTGGAATTTAGCAAATACAATTTTGTTAATTTTAACACATTTAAAACAACAGTTGGGGTGCTGTGGTGGAAAAGCAAAAGTCCTGTATGGAGACCGCAGTCCTGAATGTGGACATCAGACGTTTCCGAGTCATGGCCTGATGACCTTAGTATCACAGTTTCCTCTCTTATTGCTCACTTTCCTGTCTGACCACTGTCTTATCTAACTTCAGATAGTGATAAAAACAAATGACTTTTTTCAACTGTTAAATATTTGACATCAATTGTATTATGAAAAGACTTGGTAAACAAAACATTGAAGTTCATTTTTATTTCACAGACAATTGTTTTCCATGTGTTCAATTTATGACATCCTTTTTGCTCTTCTGCCATTTAGTTCACATCTCAACCATACACTTACAATATCTTTAACAGAACAGCATTTTGTTTTAAACAAAAAAATATATATGAATCACAATGCATACCCGTTT